GAATCGGACGTACGGACGGACGCCGCTGAATACATAGCCCCCCGTTCTGTGTTGTGGCGGGGGACAATGACACAATGAGTCTGGTACCTTTCCCATTTCCAGTTTTTGCTCTTGATGAGCATGGAGTATAGTTTGTGGGTTCAGTGAATGAGTGAGTGTGGTCTTACGCCACTTTAAGCACTATTCCTGCAATATCATGGTGACTGAAATGGGCTTCACACAATGTACCCATGTGGGGAAAAACCCCAGAGTCTTTGGTGTGACGAGCAAACGCTTTAACTGTCGAGCTGTCGGCTACCCCACCGCCACCTGTGTACTTCAGAAAGAATACACTCCCTGCATCAAGTTTGTGAAGAAGAGGCATTTACATTCAGCGTCAAAGATAAAATTAATAATAAAAATAAATGTAATTTTTCAAGTAAAATTGATATTTTTATACTTATCCTGACTCGTGATCTTTTGCTTATTTCCCGAATTTCCTTTTCGAATGGTAGTGGAACACTTGAATCCCTTGAAGTTCCCGAAGCGGACATAAAAATACACTCACCCACGAGTTACCTCCCTTTTGCCCTTTTCCCGCGCAAACAGTCATGTGACCAGCCTTACTTGTCACTCTCTCCTGATTTTCTGCCAATGCACTTGGATCTGCTGTGAAATCCACAGTGTCTTCAGCGGGGAGGTTGGGAGGGCTTCTCGTCATGAGTCAGGATAAGTATAAAAGTATCAATATTACTTGAAAAATAACATATTTTTTCTTATCCTGACTCATGATCTCTTGCATATAGAATCCGACGGATTGGTGGTGGGTCAAGCCACTTCGTGGATTCAACAGCTGTCCTTAGATACGTCCTGTATCCCCCCCATGGGGGCATTTCCGTGATCCTATTCTTCCAACTTCCGTTATAACTCGGGGGGACCACTTTCTTGTCTTACTTCAATCTCAGACAAGTTGAATCATGTTGAATCATGTGGCTACAGATAAACTAGTATCTTCTTATTACTAGATATCTCATAACAACCCAAAGATTATGATAAGATCTTTATCATAAATGAGTTGCGACCCCTTCACGTACAGGTAAGATCTTTACCCGTACAGGATCTTTAATCACTCATGCTAGGCTATCCTAGACTGTGCGCATGGACTTTCAAACTAATACTTTTCAAGTCAACGTGCTAAAGGGTGAGATTTCCAACTCAGCGCCTTTGAGGAACCGTTAGTTGCTGTGCTACAACGAGAGGCCCAAATTGGTGAATGCCTGAGACGTCTTCAGTGGCTATGTCTCGGAGGTAATGGTTGGCAAACACCGTGTCCAACTTACAAAGCAGCCCTCCATAATTGCTGGTATAGAGCAATTTCCGTGCAGAGCAAGTGTTGACGCCAGTGCTCTGACTTCATGTGGGTTGGAAGCTCTAGGAGGTTCTAGTCCTGCTGCTTTATAGGCTCTCAATATGACGGCTCTCATCCAGAACGATATGGGACTTCTGCTGATGTCTCTATTGATAATGGGATGAACAGGCGCTTGAATTTTTGTCTCCTTGTCTCTGTCTTTTGAAGATATATCTTCAGGGCTCTGACCGGACACAAGGATAGGTCTTCTACATCCCCTGAGCCGAGGATTGTATATAGCGCTGGTATGTGGAACTGTCTATCTGGCTTACCAGGTAGTTGGTTCTTGGCAATGAAGCCCCATCTAAGTCCCAGATGAACTGCAGCATGTTGCCCTGTGTCGAATCTGGTTCGACCAAAGTCCAGCGCATGTATCTCTGATATTCGAGCTGCCGTAGCTAGCGCAACCAGGAACAGAGTCTTCTGTGTCAGCAGCTCGAGGGTAGTCTGGTCTATAGGTTCGTAGGCATTACTCGTAAGATGACGTATAATTACATTCAGATCCCAGGCCGGTGCTCTGAACTTATTTTGCTGTTCCTCCAGTTTAAAAGATCTCAGCAGAGCAAGTAATGCTGGTACTTTCGTCAACTTGATGCCTGTTTTCATGGTAATCACTGTACTGAAGGCGGCGAGGTATGTAGATAATGTCGAACCTTTCAGATGTCTGGTTTGTCTAAGATGACACAGATATTCTGCCACTTGAGGATGATTAGCTTTCATCGCAGTGAAGCCTTTCCGCCTTGCATAAGTCTGAACTTCAGCCATTTGTCATCATACAGGTTACAAGTAGATCTGCATAACGCTAGCGTTACTGCCTTGGCTGCACTGGCTGAGTATCCTCTTTTCTTCAAACATGTTTTGATACGGTCCACACGTGTAGCTGGAACACTGTCGGGTTCCCGTGGACTTGCTTGGTGTGCGGATGTATGAGTAGGTTCGGCCAATCTGGTAACTTGATTGCTGGACTTCCGAGATATTCTATTAGGTATAGGAACCATACTCTTGCTGGCCAGTATGGCGCGACCAAAGTCAGTTGTAGCGCCTGTGTCTGTTTGATCTCAACAGTACTTCCGGAAGTAATATCGGGGATGTAAACACGTAAGCGTTTAGTCCTTCCCAAGATATGCTCAGTGCATCTTTTGCCCAGGCTTGAGGATCGGGAACTGGTGAGACAAACGTCTGTAGTTGTTTGTTGAACCTCGTGGCAAACAGGTCTATGCAAGGGGATCCTATTTCCCTTATAATGAGCCGGAACGCTTCTGGATGGAGCATCCATTCCGTAGGTGACGGGTGCAGTGGTGGGGAGAGAGCGTCTGCAAGTACGTTCTTGGCTCTGGGTATGTGACACGCCTTTATCCAGATGTTTGCTTCCTCTGTGATGTGGAACAACTGGAATGTGAGCTGTAGCAGGCTTGGAGACCTTGTGGATCCTTGTCGATTTATTGAGAATGCCACTTTAGAGTTGTCCATGTGGACCATCAGCATTCTGTTGTTCAGCGAGCTAGACAATAGTTGTAAGGCTTTGATCACGGCTTTCATCTCCAGCAGATTGATGTGAAGATGCTGCTCTATTTTGGACCACCTTCCTGATGCAACTTGATTGTTGAGATGCGCACCCCAGCCCTGCATCGAAGCGTCTATGTAGAGATGTGTGTCGAAGGCCGGCTCTTGTAAATAGGTCCCTCAGCAAACGTTCGACCTGTGCGTCCACCACAGTAGATACCTCTTGAGGTTGTCTGGCAGCAAGATAGGGTCGACGCTGTCTAGATGCTTCGTCAGGAACCGTTGCAGCGGTCTTAGTTGTAACCTTCCTGTGCGAGTCAAGTCCTGCGCCGAGGTTAGTAGACCGAGGAGATGACTGCTGGTGGAATCATGGCTTGTATCTTGACCCAACGATCTTCTGGGACGACAATACGATTCTGTGTTGTGATAAACCTTATCCCCAGAAACTGCAGATCTTGTTTTGGTTCCAACTCTAACTTCATAAGGTTCACCAGCCATCCTAGTTGAGTGAGCAACTTGATCGTGAAGTTCATCTGTAGTCTGAGTTGACTGGCATCTTGGTGAACCTGAATTCTGTCGTCAAAGTAGAAGTCATTGTGTAGACCTCGATGATGTTGAGGTAGGTAGGTTGAGTTGAGGTAGGTGGATCATTCTGAACCTCTCTGGTTTCAGTAGATAGTCTTTGTTGAATTTCCTTGAAGTTCTTCTTGGGTACTAGAAAAATTGGGGAATAGAAGCCTGGAGTGAGATGATGCTGATCTATTATCTCTACCGCCTCCTTCATAAGTAGTGTCGATGGCTTCTTGTAGTTTGTCTGCCTGTTCCTCTGCATAGTCGAAGACCATTGGGCTGAGGGTTAGCGCAGGTGTGGCCTTGAGTTGTACTCTGTATCCTTCTCTTAGTACTTGGGAGACGTAGTCGTCCTCTAGTATTCCCCAATTTTTCCAGTACCTTCATAGACGTCCACCCACTGTCGATGGTTTCTCAGGAACGGCTGAGGGTGGAAGACTCCAGTCGTTCCGAACCTTGATATCAACGTCTAGTTCCTTTGGATCCTCTGGGAGTGCGGCCCATCCCTGAGTTTCCTCTGTAATTTCCGTATGGGAGATCCTTTGCCGCCTCTGAAGCTGGTGTACTTCTTCTCCTTTGCCTTCTGTATGCCGGAATATTTGGACTTGCTGTCATACTTTTGCGAAGAATGACTGATGACGTTGGCCAGAGTAACTATGGATTTTATCATCAAAACTTCTCTAGAGTCGTGCGTAGCTTGCTTAGCTGCATCGTCTATTTGTCCTCCAAAGATAGTAGGCGCCTCCCATGGAGCTCTCAGTAGCGGTTGGGTGAATCTATCACTCCATGAACAGGATGCAAGAAGCCCTTGTCTCGTAGTAAAGTGAGACCTGCAGATATAGATGCCCCATATGATGTAAGGGGAATCTCTTCACATTAAATGATGGTAGATGCTGACTCTGGTGGTTGGATGCTTTCCAAGTATGGTTGGTCTAAGTTAACGCTCATCAGTACCGCACGTGCATTTGTTTCACTGTTCCAACTACTATGCTTACCCCCTTGTTATACAAACCAATAATAGCGATTTGAATCTATGATTGTTTGTTGAACAACTTTTATCCTAAGATGAAAACACTGCTGAGATTTAAATGTTCAATTGGCAAGGTAAAATTAAGAGGATTCGCAATCTTAATTTCACTTTGATTTACTTTTTCGTTTAAAGCAAAATTCATCGGTACGTTTCACTGCAAACAGACTATAGTAGTTATTGCCAAATCCATATACAGCGTAATTTTGAAGAATAGGACCTAAATAAAAAGGATGTAATGCCGTATAAGGGACTCCAGTGCTTGCCCAACCATCCGCTTGGGCGAAAAGGGAGAGAGTGACAAGTAAGGCTGGTCACATGACTGTTTGCGCGTGAAAAGGGCAAAAGGGAGGCAACTCGTGGGTGAGCGTATTTTTACGTCCGCTTCGGGAACTTCAAGGGATCCAAGTGTTCCACTACCATTTGAAAAAAAGGGAGATAAGCAAAAGATCATGAGTCAGGATAAGAAAAAATTAATAAAAATGAAAAATCCACTGACAACACTGAACCAAATTCTATTTTAATGAATGCTTTATTTTCGCATTAAGTATAATACAACAAATTGATGTTCATTGTGAAAATGTGAAATGTTAGAGCACATTTGATGCAGAACACTAACCATACCCTCAGCTTATCAGATACACTGAACCCACCCTACCACACATCCCACACACACTCCCTACAGCATGACAATTGCCCCTACTTCAGGTACATCGGGAAACCACTGACCTTTGAAGTATGTACACAGTTAATTACCTAATGTGTTGCTAACTAACAGGGATTTCACCAATACTATCCTCAGCCATATAATAATTGATGACCACTAACCTGTATTATTTCATAGTTTAATCCTGCATGGATACAGCTTTTAACCTTGAATTGTGGGACATTTGTAACCCCACGATCACTGCTGAAATACCATAACAAATGTGAGTACTAAAGTGCATTTTGTTCAAGCAACAACCGCTAAATCAAGCCTTTCCGATAGTGATTTGAACTTTTGAAACATAAACTGCCATGTTGCGGCAAATGAAGTATCACAATACATATTATCACAAATAAATATTGTGGTTTTTTATCATAACGAGATACTGGCATAAATTGATATCCCTACTAACAACATTACCATCATTTTGGTCATTGCAAACTCAAGGTTTTATTTGCTTAGCATAACAGCCCTGGACCCTCCCCAGCTACAGCTCCACCCTTTGTCAGCTGTAAGGAATGCGTGAAGAATTAATGAATAGACCTGGGTATGGTAATGCCAGTTATTTCATAACATGTCTGTCTATTTCTTCTGCTTCTTCTTTTCAGCTTCTTCCTCTTTTTCCTTCTCAATCTCGGTTATATACTTCTCTATTTCTTCAGAATCTAGCATCTGAAAAGAGTTAAAAACATGAGTCAACCTATCACAAAGCTACACCTTGTAAGAAAGCATTCAGCAGTATCACAGCAGGGGACACCAGAAATAGGCTTCACACATTATACTCAGGTGGGGAATTGAACTAGGGTTCAGTACATAGAGAATACCACACTCGGTCTCATAACATACAAATTATACGCGTGTGGTATTTTATTTATTACCCACGTCTTACATGCTTTAAATTGAAAAATTAGCGTATTTTTGTTATTGTTATGGTTTCAAACCGAAACCGTTGTCATGAAGTGGGTGCGGAAGAATGTTGTTCTGTAGTACACTTTTTGTATGACGTCACACTGTAATGACCACACTACGCCTTGCTTTTCTGCCCCCCTGGTAACTGACGTCACGATGCATGTCAGACGTCATCGCCTCGTACAGCCTCCTTCATTAAACTACTCTGTAGCACCTCGTTTCTTAGTTTGCAGTTGTTTCACTCGGCTAACATCACTGGTGGAGACTTTGCGTTTATGTTTTTCGACGCATATAATGTCTCAGTTCGACTCACAATTAAAAAAGAAAAGTAGTTCCGTCACAACGTGACCTAACTGAGAGCTCATCGGTTAGCCAATCAAATCGTTAGAATCTCGGGTCAAGTTGTTACGACACAGGTCAGCGCGATACGACACTCGGGTGACGTACGAGATTAGTATGCAACTACCCATACGTTGACCACGTGGGTAATAAAGATAGCTCATGACATGAACAATCATTTGCTTATATCTCATGATGAGCAGTTGAAGTTAAACATGCAACCACCCCGGGAATACTAAATCTAGAGGATGGGCATTATTAGTTATATGGTAGAGTTGTATGGTAGAGTTACTTGCATGCATGTCATGACACATCGCTCACGGGTCGACACTCCATAATCTGACACAGTAATTTCATGATTTACTCTGTTACTCTCGTCTGTTTCTGACAGTTACATTTACAACCGAAGCAAGCTCCAAACTGGCCACAGTTGTGGTACCTTGAGTGGTTGACCCCGCCTCATGACTGCCACCTCCATGTTCTTGCCCCCTGACTGAACCACCTCCAACAGAGCCTTTAGTGTTAACTTGATACATTCATCTTCATTCTGGGTCAACTCGTCAGTGTAATGCTTCTCCAGGAATTCTCGCACGGTTTTAGCACTTCTTCCAATTGTGTTGGCCTGGAATAAAGTCAGATACAGGATCCAGTACAACATACTGTTGTTAGTGTTCAAGTGTGTGAATGGACTTGCACCTGGCTACCTCTCAAATTTTCCTAAAAAAACCATCTTCCCAGATCCCTACGATCTGGTTCCCAGTATTTCCAGGAGGTACCAACCACCCGAACAAGGACATTTGGCGACAGTTTATTTGCAAAAGCCTGTCCAGTAATGTGGAACAGTCTACCAATGCACCTCAGATTGCAAGAGATTCTACCAACATTCATGTCACAACTGAAAACGCATTTGTTTAGTGCTGCCTACCGTACTTGAACAATGTCTTTCCAGACTCATCTCCAGTGCTTTCGAGAGGGAACATGCCAGAAACTAGCGCCATATACATATTTTTATTGATTGATTGATATTAGTGGTGGTCCGATTAATTGAAATAATCGAAGATTGGTCGCAGTGGCCAAACGACCAAGCAATCGATCACATTTTCTCATAATCGAACACAAACGATTTTGGAACCGCTGTAATAGAGTTTGAAATACTTGATGATGGAACATATCTAGGATGTTGTCAGGGCCTGAAAACGTGTTTATTTCTAAGAAAACTCACTTCACTTTCTGAAAAGTCATGACTGAATATTTCTTGAAGAATCTGGGAAGTTAATGTTACACTGGAACTGAATCATTTTACACTGGATGTGAAATCTGCAATTGTAATTTGTGCAGTTTCTAAAAAAACAACAGAGAACTAAATGCTTTTTTCTTTATACTTATCTGCAACTACAACCTGAATAGGAAAATCGAAAAAAATGACACTAACCAATTTTTTTTCGATGATTGGTCGTTGGTATTGAACCAATCATCAATTGTTAGATTTCAACCAATTCCCAACACTAATTGATATATCAAGAATAAAGAAAGATAAGATATTGATTAACAACAATAAGCAACATTTCGGTGTAGTTAAAAACACTTTCATTAAACAGTTGATCCTTAATGTAATGAGGAGGCTGTTCAACCATATATCTTATCCTTCGTTCATACTTCTAAATGCCTCTCAAAGAAGTCAACATAGAATAAACTAAATTTGTTCAACTTAAATGTCTGCAGCAGTTTTCAAATATGTAAATGGAAATTAAATACATGTATGCCCCTATTTAACTTCCAGTGATGTCCAGACTATACAAGAGGAAGTAGTAAAAGTTTACATTACAGTATTGAATTCAATATTCAATATAATGTTAACTATCTCTGTTACGGTGAAACCATTGACAAAAACCAGCAGGAAATATAAATGCGGGGTGGGTGGTTGTGAGCGTCAGGGGTGGGAAGATTAGTATTTATGGATGTCAACTACGGGGTGACAGATACGGGGAACATGATGTATCAGATGACGGAGAAATAATATACTCCATTAAGTCACAAACTTCACCCTCTTAACGTGTATCACTTCTAATGGCCATTCAAACAGCCTGCAGTGAACAGTTTTCCATCTAAGCATAGTCTTGTCCAGCAATCAGCCAGGTCCCTCATTGTAACCAACCAGTTCTGCTGTTAGCATTTATGGTCAATTGTACAACTAGCATGGGCTACAGAGGACCAGTCTTGCCTGAATCCTGAACATTATCAACTCCCAGCATGTATTGACTGTGTTGAATTATATACCAGTATTTATCAACAACAGTCAAACAGCTGTTACCCTGTGTGTATTATCAATAGGAGGCAGACATTGTGTAACTCCGATCCACATTTCCTCATGTTGCACATACTCCAAGAACACACCTTCCATTCATGATAAGTTCCCGATGGATCTGTCTGGTACAGATGGGCTGTCCCATCATAGTCAAAGCCGATGATCAGTGCCGACAAACCGAAAGGTCTTCTGCCATTGCTCTGTGTATATTTCTGCAAATACAACACAATAAAGTTGACAATCTGCAACTTAGCCTTCAGTAATTTGATCAAAATAACCATTCTTGCCACAACCATGGATCTGCACCAATTTTCCAGTCTTTATGAAAGAAGTATTGATTACCACTGAAATATATTCAGGGCAAGTGCATGGTGTAGTTTTCAGAACATCGTATCATATTTGAGAATACTATCATGGTGCATATCAGTGAGACCCATTATTTAACAAATAACATGTTAATCCATATTTAATAAGATCCATATTTTAAAGTCTTTAACTGCAATAACAGTTTGGTTAACCCTGTGAAAGACAACAATTTGGTCTGCATGATTGTTTCTCAACCTGAAATACAACAACTTTCCAGTTCTATCTCTTTTGTCTGTATTTAGAGTAATCGGCAAAATACAAACTAGAGATTGATATAATGAGCAACATTCCCCCCAAAAGACTGGCTTTAAACAATCAACCAAATCACTGAACATGACCACAAAATCCATTTAATCCATCGACAATCCTACTCCTTGGCTCTCAGGGACCCATTCTAATAATAATATGTCATTTTGTCTGTGTGGGAAGTTACTGTTAACTGACCTGTTTCAGTTGTGCAATATGCCGTGTGATGTATTCACATGTGACAGGGTCCTCTACTGTCAGCTTGTGACTCTGACATTCGATCCTTGCACGATTGATCAGTATCCTTGCATCTGCTGTCAGACCTGTGGATGAGGAATATGGAACCAGGTCTTAGCTTCCAGCCTCAGCGCTTTGGTATACCCAATACAAATATTTATAGACAATGTCACCATAAACAATATCCCAGTTATATCATCATGATCATGGCATGGATATAATGTATTGATGTTATTGTAACCAAGCAGGCAATTCAACCTACATCTTGTGAAGCCAAAACATTAACCATAAGCCTTTACCCACACCACCCAGCCAACCATTTGTCAATTGGTGGTCAAAGATATGGGACACACTCTGCAGCAAATGTCATAAAAAATTCACCAAATTTGAACTCAAACATTCCAAAACCAATAACATGTGGAGATAATGTTATGGCCTTGTCCGGACCAAAATGCAAGCTAGTTGAATACGGATTTATGTCTCCCATGATAGAGGAAGAGGGGACCCATGAAGATCCAGGTTAGAATCAGTCTTCAGCAACCCATGCTTGTCTTAAGAGGCGAGTAAACATAGTCAGTGTGATAGTGTTCAGGTTGGCTGACTTGGTTGACACATGTCATCGTTGACCTATTCCATCCTGTCGTAAATGTTGTATTACAATGTACTATGTCTTGTACCATTTGTGAACAATCAAGAGAGAGAATTTTAGGGAAGTATAAAACGCCTGGGCCATCCAATCCTGTGTATGAGTCAGTCTGGCAAAGACAGTATGTTTAGGAGTTCATTTTTTGTGAACAAATTAACAATGTTCTTTGTTTATAGCAAGACAACAGGTGACTGCACCCTATATAAATCCAGAAGCAATCTCATGTCAAGTTTTAACCAACCTGCAAATGCGAGTGCGACATGATCATCCAATAATGCTATCTTTCTCACAGTTCGTTCCTCCTGCAACTTCGCAACTGCTTTCTTCTCAACACCAAGAACGACGATGTTCTTACCCCGAACACCAACCTGAAAACATACACACAATTATCTTGCGAATACGCCGAGAGCAATATGCTGTCAAATTTTGGCAGGGCTCCAGATAAGGGCCGTATCGGCGTATGTACGGATATAAAATAAGCACGATACGGTAGGAAACAATTTAGAAAACGTAGCACATACGCACCACAGCAACAGTGTACGGTCTTAGAATCATTTACAGATGTATTTATCTGAAAACGTATTGTTTTATTCTTTTTTTGACCTGTTTACACAAGAGTAGCAATTTCGTGGTGCATATATGAAACGAAACGCAAGATTACTGATACTCCATTAAATTCCATTCAGTACTCTAAATGTACTCTTATTGTTTTCCAGTACTCCTATATAGAAAACATAAGGAGTACGTACTTCTGATCATGAAAAATTATCTGGAGCCCTGGTTGGGCATAATTACGACCGTAATCGTTAAGGAATGATTCCGTCAGTTTAAAACGCTAAAAAGTATAAAACGATCAGAAAATCCCCTGCATCGTCTTTGCATTGCGCTTTGTAAACACACAGCCACAAAAAGAACAAGTTTACGATAAAACAGAAAGAAAATGTACCGCTGTCGAGCCCTTCTTAACTGCTTCCTGGGCATATTCTACTTGAAACAAATGTCCATCGGGTGAGAAAACGGTTATGGCTCTATCGTATCTCGACGACATGCTTGGTTTTTCAGTTTTGCTGTTTCACAGGAAGTAGATGAAATTAAGCTCGCACTGAATATATATTTTTTTCTGAAACAAATGTACCTTTATTTTCCTTCATATTCATCCTGTATATTGTATGGGTTTTAATTTTTTAAAATAATATCACGTATTTTGTATTTACAGAAACATTACATATTAATGCACGCTTTCGTCCAATGAAGACTCGATACAGTTTGACTGCAGAGGAACAAGTGCGCGGACTGGAGAGACTGGCCTTTGTCTCTCGGTCTACCACATCACGTTTTGCAGATATTATCATTCGGTTTGGGACTTCGCAGTGATCAGCTACCAAGATGTCACTCGCGTTTGTGCCACCCCAGCAGAAGCCAAAAGGACAACCCCCTAATCAAACTACGATTCAGAAAGTAAGTTATCGATCAAATATGGTTGCCTCGGGTTTGCAGAAGGAATGTGGTTTGTGCACACAGACGGCAAAGAAGAACCCATCCTTTGTTCAACATTCATTCGGAGATCGTGGCTGTCATCTGTTTCTGCTAGCAATAAACTCCTTGTTCTAATTTTATATACGTCAGGAATAATGCATTATAATGTCAGATTGTTGACCGGATCTTTCTTGCGCCGGCATTATTTGATTAGGCAAATGTCCAATGCGGACTGTGTACATAGTCAGTCCGTCGATAGTAGACTGTTGTAGGGTCAGCTCGCCGCTTTCATTCGTACAGATTGTGAGGGCTGACCGTTGTCTCAGGGCGGTCTGGAGTAAGTCAACATGACAAATAGTCGTATTTCCTTTAAACTCGGCAACTGGCGAATATAGTGTTTCATCATGTTCATAGCCTAAATACAAACCATGGGCAATAACATATTAGGGCCCATATATGTAGTATTGGTGATCCAAGTACTAATGACCTTCTCTGTTTTATTGCAGATGTTGGATGAGAACAATCAACTAATACAGACAATAATTGATTATCAAAACAGTGGGAAAGCTCAAGAATGCATGCAGTAAGTTGGCCTTTCTTGGTGTTACTGAGAAAGTCTTGAACATAAGGAACCACCATGAAGGAGCTTTATCATTCCAAGGCCATTTTTGGCTGTTGAAAGGATACTTGACATGACCATTATGACGATTCAACACTGCCTTGCTTTGTTAAGGGGGCTAAGGTGTTCAAAAGTTTGTCGCATGCCCCATGATTTCACATCAACATGTGTAATGTAAAATAAGTGAGTCGTAGCACTTGTGTAATTAGCAACTGAAATTAAATTGGATAATTAAGAATACACTTGCATATTTTTCAGTTTTCAGCTTATCAGGAGATTTGTTGAGGGTTTAACAAGGTCACCCATTAATTAATCTGTCTCTTTCCCGCCCCCAATATTTTATAAAGTAGAACATTGATGATGTAATAAAAACATTCATAGGATTGTGTGGTTGATACTGAGTTAATCTGTACCATAGGCCCCCGCTGCGGGTCAGAAAATTGATAAACTAAGACCCGTTTACTACTCAGGAACAAGAAATGCTTTGTTTAGATCACTATACAAATATAGAAAAGAAGGAAGTAGGAAAGGAAGCACATGTTTGATTGTGCTGATATGAGTTTATTCAACATTTTTGAAGGCCTTTATAAATGTTGGGACCCACAATTTTAACATTATGTGATTGTCTTTTAGCACAGACCCCATGATTAACTGTCAACACTTCATACAGCCCATGTTACTGAGACTTAATTAATAAATACTTTTGTTTCAGATACCAACAGATACTGCACCGGAACTTGGTTTATTTGGCTACAATTGCAGATGCTAATCAAAATGTGCATGCTTTGCTTCCAGTGAGTACTTGTTGTTTGGAAAGATTAAGGATACAAAGAAACTCTTTTAGTCTTGACCCTGTTAGTGCAGACATTTTGGATTCTGGATGATTCTGTTACTGTTAGTACCATTTGAGTAGTGGGTAGCACTATACATGCCAGAAAACTCTCATTCATATGAATAAAATGGACATCAATCCGAACTAGTTCAATGGACAACACACAAAGGCATGAATAGCACTCTATAATGGTAAAAGTGAAATAATCTTGAAGGTGACTTTTCATCTCACCTTGTTCGTTTAGGTTCTCCCACATGCTAAACCCTCCCTCCTTGTCTGTTTCCTACCTGCATTTTGTTTGGTGTTATGGCAAACTCATAACTGCCCACTTTACCTTTCTTACCTATTTTTAAGTTTTCCAGATATCAATGAGGAATATGTGTATAGGTTTTCATGGGTAGGCTGCAGTTAAAATGATTTACTGTAGTAAGTGCTCTGTTCTTGCAGGTGCCTCTGACCAATATCTAAGCCCATCTTATCATTTTCCATGTCATAAGAGCCTCCTTATTGAAACAATTTTCATAAGTCCATATTTCCTTGGGTTTTTCTCAAATTGGTTTTACTGAAAACCTCAGCTTATAAAGAGATATATATATACTATTATTTAGACAGTTTTAGATTCATATATGTTTGAACGCATTTTCTTCATAACCACCTGATAGATGGCTAAAAGTTTAACTTATAGTATTTCATTTCAACAAGCATCACACTTTCATTTGTGAAATGCCATTGGGGATTTTTTTGTAAATATAAAGTGTAAATTGAAGCTTGAACCATAAAAAATCTTTATGGTGTGCACATCCTGTGTGAGGTTTCACTGGGTCCATGCACTGGTTTTTCTGTATGAAAAAGTTTGTAAATCCACCCTTACATTAGAAATAATCAAGTTATTTGTTGCATTAAAGTGTCGTGCATTTTCACATCATTTGACTTATAGTTTTGATCATGTTTATATGTATTGGTGGAACTTGCTACTTTTGCAGGCTCCTGGTCAGGGTAGTCAGGCCCCAGGCTCAATGCCTCAGCCGACACCCCAGATGACGCAGATGAGGGCCCCAGGGAATATGCCCAACCCCATGACACAAGGTAAGAGCTTGATAGTGTTTTAACATGATTAAGACCATGCTCGCTTGTACAGAAGCAAAGCCTGTTGCTGGAATTCATCAGTGTTGTTAAATTTTTTTTAACATACATGCTCATCCGATTTTCAAAATGTGAAACAGGGATATATTCCATGGCATTTATTCCACTCGTTATGGCTCATTTTGGACAGGTCATTTATGTGAAACAAGCAAATTTTGAGGGAAACAATTAGTCTGTCTAGGATTTCGCCAGTTTCAAACTGACAGACAAAATTGTCTGTCCTCATAATGGCCATTTCTGGTGTTATCCACTCCCAAATTGGAATGTGTTGCACAAGATGTAGTTAAGTCTTTTCATCTCATTCTTGTTTCGGGCGGTGGGGTAGCCTCGTGGTTAAAGCGTTAGCGCGTCACGCCGAAGACCCGGGATCGATTTCCCCACATGGGTTTAATGTGCGAAGCCCACGTCTGGTGTCACTCGCCGTGATATTGCTGGAATATTGCTAAAAGCTGTGTAAAACAATACTCACTCATTCTTATTTCAGCTGGTTCCATGCAAGGAGGCAACCAGATGAGCCAGGCAGGGCCTGGCATGCCTCCAGTCAGCAGTCAAGCCGGTTTCTCATCTCCGATGGGAAATCCCCAGCAATCTGGTGGTCCCTCTGGATTCCCCCGGCCCCAGATGGGTCCTCAACAATCTGCTCAGCAGCAGGCGAAGGGCAACATGATGCCTCAAGGTAAGGATGCTTGTTAGGTCATGAACCCTGACCAGGTTTGAGATGGAAACAAATTTTGTTCAATTAAAAGCAGTTATCTCCAAAATAAAACCAACACTGGCACAAGTAATTCTGACACATTATTTGTTTATTTCCTCCCCATTAAGGTACAATTATTCGTGAAGCCAGATTGTGATGCTCCTGTTGCAGCGTTACTAGAATATTGATAAAAGTGACATAAAACCTCACTCACTCTTAATGTCAATGTTGACATTGGATGTTGAACAATGTTTGAAGAAACAGGATGGATTCACTGGGTTCCTAGAAATGATAAGATTTGAATTCTTTGGAAATAAGATTTGGTTGCCGTGAAATTTCACAACAATTGTATAAATTTGCAAGGATCTCATTACCCACATTCTGTCTAACCCCATAGAACAGTCGGTCCTAACATAAATATGGACCTTTTCATGAGAGGAGATGAACTAGAGATGGCAAACTTTATGGATAATCAACTTCTTTATTTTGGTATAGATGCTTGAAAACAGTATAAGAATCTATACCGAAACATCGCCATTGTCAAAATAAAGAAGTTGATCATCCATAAAGTTTTGTCATCTCTATACCACCAACTTCTAGAATGCCACTCAAACAAATCAGGAGATGAACTGTGAAGAATATTAATGAAATGTTAACTTCCTTTCAAGGTCAGGGGATGACTAATCAGAACGGTAGCATGGGCAACCAGACGTACACACTGCCTCCTCAGCAACAGCAACAACCTCCGGGTGGCTACCCCAATCAGCAACAGCCGATGATGTCCCAGCAACAGCCGATGATGTCTCAGCCACAGCCGATGATGTCACAACCTCAGCCGATGATGACACAGCCTCAGCCGATGATGTCCCAGCAACAGCCGATGATGTCCCAACAACAGCCGATGATCTCACAGGGCCAACAGCCGCTGATGTCGCAGAGCAGTAGCAGTCAGATGATGATGAACAACCAGAGCGGTATTCAGAGCAATTCCATTATGGGTGGACCAAGGGGACAGATGCCCCCCGCGTCCTATCGCCGCTCCCCTCAAGGTGATTATCAATTTAACACGAAGCCAACAGTGCATCCTCAACTATTTATCATGTCCTTTTTGTGTCTGCTATTGACTAGTTCATAGACCTAGCTGCCCGTTGAATCGATATTTATACTTTGATGACTGCAAGTGCCTTGCATCAAATTACTCCAGTTTTACGACTACTGTAGTTTGCATGGTCAGTGACAATGCCCTCCTTAAGTAGTCTGCCCTAGGCTCGTATAGATTCAGATTTAGAGGATGCACTGTATAGAGCTGTTTGCATTCATGGTTTGTGAAATTTTCTTGTCTGGTAGCATGGCAGTTTGTTTGTTTTGATGTTTGTTTGTTCGGTGTTCATTGAGGTTGAAGACATGGATCAAAAGGGTCAGGTTATGGCTTTTTCATGGTTGCACTTTTCAGAATGCTAAGTATTCGGGGAAATTTTATTCATAAATGTTTGATCACATTTTGGGGGATTTTTTATTTCCAATTTCCACTCGAAGGAACTCTGTCATGGTTGAACCACTTTTCATATTACTTCTTTCAATTAATCAGGTTGAGGGTATACTTATTGATATATAACCTTAACCAACTCTTAACCATGCCAGGATGTCGCTAATCATTAATATTGGTGGGTTATCGCAGCTAACATAGTAACCAAAACGATCATTGTAACAAGAAAGTGGACAATGCAGACAGTGTTCTTTTGAAAATGTTTCAGCATGTTTTCTAGTTTCAGTTTCCAACACTAACTCCTCCCCCCCAGTTAGACGAGACTCTCGTGGCCATTTTCTTAGCCCGGAGGACGAGCATGACGAGTGTCCCACCTGTCTGACTTGCACACAGTCAAACACTTGTGACATCTGTCGCGGTTGGTCCCCCGAGCGTTGGGAGGACATGCGGGGCCGCCAAGAGCAGTCTCGTCGGCGCAGGGAAAGGAAAGCGGCTGATAAGGCCTCTCGTAGCAATACTACCAAAGAACCCAGCAGTGGGGCCACCACAGCCAAGAGCTCCAGTAACCCTACTACCACTACTACCACTACCAATGGCGAATCTGCTGTGCCGGTAGCCGTGACTAAGTCATCCAGTGAGCGTGTGGAGCGTGTGGCCACATGGACCCAACCCATAGCCCCATGTCCTCCTCCCATCCAGTCACAGCCAGTGTTTACTGTCGGGCAAGTGTTTTCTTTGTCCACGAGGCCTGCCCAGTCTCACTAAGGCAGACTTGAACTGCTCTCTTACTGCTCACTGCAACTGAGCATGCCGACCAAAGAACGTGGGACCTTGCCGTTTTCTATTAATCCTTTACCAACAAGACTAATCATGCTTGGGACATGACTGTCTGATTCTGGTGTATTTGTTCTCTAAAGAGCTAACTAATCATCTCTGCCCTAACTGTACTAAGCGTCGGTCGGTCAGTCAGATAGCTGTCGGGCTGGCATATAGTGGCGGACTTCCCCTCCCTCCAACGCTGGTGCAGTTTGGGTCTGTGTTAGTCTGACTGAGGCATGCTCATCTGGCAACAAGATAGTTCTAGACAAAGTAGATTCAGTGGAAACCTGAGACCGCCATGTCCACTCACATAGAAGAGATTCTGCATCTGAGTTTTATCCATGTTAAACTTCCTGATCAGTGTTCGAAATTAAACAAATTAAATTCTAAGAGTCTTTAAATGGCATTTAGAAGTGATACACATAAAGGCAAGACTTCTTTTGGATGTCAACTTCTTTAGTGTGATGGACACGACATTTTGAAGTATATTTTTACTCCTTCATCGGTGAATGAAAGAATTAGCTGTTTGTTTTCGTAAGTCTTTCATTCATGTGATGAAATAGTAAGGATATACTTCGAAATGTCGTGTCAACACATCAACGAAGTTGACATCCAAAATAAGTCTTGCCTTTAAATTCTAATGTTCCCGTTATCAACATGCTAAAGGTTTGACCCTTTAGTTTCGAGCACTGACAATTCAGCTGTTCCCCTTACTAAATATCCTCAAGCCCATTTGACAATCAACAGGGTTAAAATACATTTTTGTTTCTCAGACTTAGATCTGCAATAAAGAACCAACAAATGTAATTTATTTCTGATTTTTAAAGATATTTGAATTTCTGAAAGTTAAGCCACAGTAATCCCTTTTTCAATGTCATTGCCTGCGTTCCCATTGAATAAACGTAGCTTTGCTTTACAACCAGGATAAAACTCAGACCATGGATTGCAACAGTTATTTCGAAACTGGTCAGGACTTGGGTGAGACAAAGGTATTCTCAGGTTTTGTGTAGCTTACAAATTACGAAAAACTGTTTGACAAAGATTTGAAGGTTCCAGTGTTTGTATGTGTTGACTGACCACATCATGTTGTACAAAGCTGCTTTTCTTTCAGAATCCATCTCATTCAGTTGAAAAGGTGTTGCTCATTCACTGAACCAAACTGTCAAAACATCCTATAAAGTCTATTTGAATGTCCTTTAGTCTTGTTATCAGATGATGCTGTTTTAGACATGCTAACATTTTTATATACCTTTCTCTCCACTGGTCATGCTAGTCATCCTCTATTCTTTGAAATTACAGAATTTCTAAAGCAAGGTATTGTATTTCAGATTATAATGTTTGGTGGGAAAAACAGATGGGTATGCTACAAATTCTGAATTTCTTATCAATCGAGGGCTATTTTGCATTAACAGAATTAATACCAGATATATTCTATTAACGATCACGCATCACATTCTCTTGTCTCACGATCACATCAGTATTATTCTTTCCAGTGGTGGTATTCTCACAACAGAAAAGCTTTTGTATCAAATGATCTGATGTTAATGGACCATTTCCCTATTTGTACTGAAATTTTCAAATATTTGGTTCCTCCCCTACTCTTTGTCTGTGAGAAACCTGCATGATTTTATTCATTTTTTGTGTCAAATTATTCTACATCACAAAAAACGCCCATTGTATGCATAGCCATGAAATAGTATCTATTTGTGAATGAACAATCTTGGAAACGAGACCAGATTTTTTGGTTTTTGTGTGTTGAACTCTCAACCCGTGTAGACCCTTTTGATCCTGTTGTCTGACAATATTGATATTCCTTTTGAGTTGACTTTTCTCTGTTTATATTTCTGATTGAGTGTTGAATGTACTCGTGAATGGCTGACCAGTCCTTCCTCTCTGGTATGCCTTGGTGTTGTGTTCTCAAGTCAGATTCTAGTCTATGGTCATAACGGGACACTTTTCCTCTCTCCCCTGTATTCATGGTGTTGTGCAAAGTGCAGTTTGGTTCAGGTTCATAATCCTAGATAACCATGGTAACACTTCAGTATGACAGTACATAATATGCTGACATTGGTATAATGTACATTAGAAACAGGCTATGAAAATTTGTTTTTGCCACTGGCCATTTTTTCACTGTATGTAAATATGTGCTGTCCTTGTTTAACATCATCTGTTTTGGTTTCTGAAAGAAAAAATCCTGCCTTTTGGGGATGTTTTCCTGTTAGTGCTGTTTGAATGCAAACAATTGTTTTTAAGTTACATGGAGCTTTTCCATGACAAATTTATATAGTTCGGAATCCGTGTCAAAATGACATTTTGAACTGAGCTAATTTCATGGTGCTCTTCTCAGTCACACAGATGGACGCAATGGCCTTAGTAACTGAAACTGGGGTCACAAGTGGCCCAGTTGTCCAATTCCACGGGCAGAGTTGCAGCTCAATTGTGTTTCAGAAACTGTGAGCATGGGTTTGAATCTCACAATCTCCGTGATCTTATTTCTGGTTTTATATGTACCATCCCCATGCTCGCTGGTTCTCACGAAAGTAGTTAACATCTAATGTGGGTATCATTTTGGACGTCAGTCTCACAATCAAAATGACATAAAATACTCATTAAGCATTACTTTAAACACATAATAACAGTGTTAGACTGAAGAAATGGTTTATTTAAACAACTTTTAATCCCTTCTTTAAGTGTCATTCAGAAGCTGGTATGATGAAGAGGAACACTTTTCAAGGATTGACAACTTTTTTATTGCAATAGATGCGACGTTTCGGTGTTATCAAGCCATCATTTGCCATCTTCAACTTTTGATCGTTCATTTTTTCTGCAGGTATCTGTTAGGGTTGGGTTTAGAATTTTAAAACCGTGTAGTAATAAGATCATGAAAAACAAATAGGTAATTATATCTTGTAAAGAAATACATGGTCACACCTGCCACAAATAATCTTTGACCCACAACCCCAAACAAGCTGTTTCATAACGTGTATTAGGTATTCATGGTCAGTTAATATTCATTGCCAAGCCAGATCAGTAAGAATACAAGATTCTAATGTGTTATGTTTTACTGTAGGATGGAATGGCAAGGTACGACATTCCTTTGAGTTTATTATAGACTGTGTCACTGCACCATTCATGCTTAAATTCTGAAAATGATCTCATTCAAAATACATATATTCAAGGGTGAAGTAACATGGTATAAAAATGTTAGGATATCATTATGTTTATGATGTTATTTTGTTGTTTAATACCGCACACGGCAAAAATCCAGCTTTATGGCGGCGGTCTGTAAATAAGTGAGTCTGGACCAGACAATCTAGTGATTGATATCTGGAACATTGATCTGCACAATTTGGTCATGATGACATGCATCAAAAATGTATATATACCTGACCTGGTAGTCAATATATTGTGATAACTATTCAGAGGCCCAGATAAGCTGCGTATCCGGGTAAAATACGCATAGAAAACTTCCAATTACGCATTGAAAAATAATATTGCGTACAAATTACGCATTTAAAATGTTAGATACGCAAAAAGTTTAAAACAAATGCGTACAGAAAATATTTATAAAATCGCTTGCGTTATGAAAAAGACATCGATTGCTATCAAGTTGTACTGTTAGTATAGGACAAGTGTTGTTGTACTGTCAGTATAGGATTAGTAAAGTAAACTTACTCAAAGTCATAATACTTAGGTGAGTAAAATGACTGAAATGCTCACATATTTGAAAGCAGTGGGTAGTGGAAAATGAAATATCCACTCAACATTCATAATACCCACTCCACAAAAATACAGTGGGTACAGTACCCACATGAGTTAAATCTTATCTGGAGCTCTGACTATTGTAATGGCTGCGGAGACAACTTTTTCATTTATGACAAGAACAAGAAGGAAGTTTGTTAACTTTTACATTGAATCCCCTTGGCATAGTGGTCTTTGTTGTCTGCCTGTAAAAGTAGTCTAGTGTCCAGCCCCTCAAAAAATTGTGAATGTTGAGTTAAAAAGTTTTTCCATGAATAAATCATTAAATATTTTAACAGATTTTAACTAATATGTCAGTGGTAGGCCAATCTAGTGCTGATGAACAGAGAAGATATCACCAAAAAGGCAGTTGTAATGGGGTTTTATGTTTTGAAATAAAATTCACATAATGGGTGTTAACTTTTTTAATGTTGACATTATTGTGGATTGTTGCAGACTGTCTTGACATGTTGTGGTTGCTTATTCAAACCTTGTTATGCTCATGTTGGTAGCGCTGTTGAGGATGTATATTTCCTACTTTGCCTGGATTGATTAGATGTAGATTTTATGCTCTTGTCCTCATTGACATGTACTTGTTCATTTCATCCCAGTTCATGTTTGCAGTCAATCTTGTCCAGTGATGTATCCATATATGTTGAACTAATCTACAACTAATCAGTGCAGCGAGTATCGTTTGCTGAATGATCTTTTTGTTTCAGTGTCTAATGATCTCTTTTTCAGCTTATTTCATTCAATGAAAATGTCTGTGATAATTCTTATACACATGTGATAGTATTGTGTGCTTTAAGATCTCAGATATAAGAGTGGTGAATAGGAATATAAGTCTTATTTTGTGTCTCCTTTTCTTCCACAGGCCAGCAGTACAGCCAACCGCCGGGCCAGGGGGGCTACCCCCAACAACCGTTCAGTGGTCAGCAGCCTTACTCCCAGCCCCAGGGACAACAATCCTTCCCTCAACAGCCAGGCTACTCCCAGGCCCCCAACATGCCCCCCCAGGGACAATATGCCAACTACCAGGGTCAGGGACCACCCCAGCAGCGTTATAATCCTTTCAACAGACCCCAGGGTAGCATGGCCCCGAACTCTCCCATGCAGGGGAGCCCGATGAACAGCCAGATGAGTGGACAAATGTCCGCTCAGGGCCAGGGGATGGGGGGTCAGATTCAGTCCATGCCCCCTCAGGGACAGATGAGTGGAAATATGCCTCAAGGGCAAATGCAAGGTGGACCTATGTCGGGTCAGATGCCGCAGAGTCAGGGTCAGGGTAGCTATGGTTACAACCAGACCCAGTACTGAAGTATGAACCTGATTTGCTAACATGTTGAAACTATCGTTAGTTGAGGCGAAATAAGCAGGGGTAACTGATAGTGATTTCGGATGAAGATAAATGCGTAGCATTCATCTGTACAGTTATAGTGGCAGTATGGTCTTTGCAAACTCCACCAATGGCATTGAATTACAGCTGCTTGGGTATTGGTGTAATGCGTTGGATCTGAATCCCGGTCATTTGCAAAGCTTCCTTGAAAAAAAAAAATAACAACGAATCGGTGTCGTGTTCTTTACTTGTGTCTTAATTCTACTCGTATGGAGGAAGTAGATTACTATTCCCACAGTGTCCATTACTAATGAGCGCCTTCAGACAAAGAAAGATGATTTTCTTGATCAGTTATGGAGGTACAGTTTAGTATGGTGGTAATAAGAGGTTTTGGATATCTTGACATCAATGTTTAAGATGAAATTATGGTTCCATTTAACCGTTCTTGAGGATTGGGAAGAGTCTCTTTGCATGGGTTTGTCTGTAATAAGTAATCTCAGGCTTTGTCTATGAAAATGATCTGTTAAAGAGTTGCAATCTGCCTAAAGTTATGTGTCTGGTCCTTTGCTCTGACTCAGAATTAATTTGAAGACCTGAGTCTCCAGGTGGAAGACACAAGATTGCAGTTTTCTTGCATGGCCTGTTTGTCAATGTTTCTGTGTCTTTTCTTGCATTCTTGGATGGAGGAATTTTGAAGACAATTAAAGTTTGGTTTAAATGTGGATTTTCATTGTTCTGGTAACTGAAAAACCGAGAATGGAATTTGTCATCTAATGTTATGGTTAGAAAGTCAATTTAAAAAAAAGCGTATAAGCTCTTTCACTTGCAGGAATCATTTCTATTTTGACTGAACAAATACTTGAAATCTTCCCAGACAGATAAATGCTGATAAAGTAGGTCAGTGCGCATTTATCTTATATAGGCGACATGCAAAACAAATATTATTCTGATGTATGTTTTGCCTCATGGTTTTACACCTATGAACCACAAAAATATTTTCTGTTGGATAATGTGGTAGAAATTATTCCCCAAATCCAAAACATGTGAAATCAGAACCAGAATCTTTCTTAGGGCTGGAACTAACTTTGATCACATCAATACGGCTCTGTAGGATTGTAACAGGATCTGAATGTCAGTAGCAATCTCATGTCAAACATGGAGAAAATCTAGCCTTTGGAAACACTATTGTCAGAAACATGTTCTTGCCAAGTAGAGAAATGTATAATTTTGTAATCGGTGCAATAATCACTAGAGATTGTAGTCCAACAAATCATTCCTTATCAACTTAAATTAGCAATTCTCCCCTTAATGGTAGATGTAGATTTTAGGAACTTAGGCGTCGGCTTAAGTATAAATGGTTAAGGTGATGGACAAGATTGTTTTTCAGTATTTCTATACTGTTGTGGGATGGAAACTTGTACATAGTCCTGTAATCTCGATCATAATCAAGATTAGGTGATTGGCTGGATGGTGCTCAATGTTAGATTATGAAAGCATTATTTTGGTGATTCAAGGTAGTGTTTTCACGAAGATTTTATTTTCTAACTGTTAACATTTGTGAATCAACATAAGCGGATTTAGTTCTGAGCATAAGTGTTTTTATATATACAGTATTGTTGACCTACATGTTGCTGTTTACGCATCTCTTTTAACTTGAGTTGTTTCCCTTGGATCTCGTCACAGATTTTTCACTTCTTGATCACTGTTGGATCTCGTGGTTGGTAATGGATGACCTCAAGTTCTGCTCATGTTACTGGCAATGGCTTGATGAGAATTGTGAACAGTCGTTTTTCTGATGGTTTTGGTGTGGAGATTGACTAGTTGGCAGTCAGGTTTATACTTCATGTTCTGGTGTTAAGGAAATGGCAAATGTTCACGTCTGCTCCTTGTCTCCAAGTTGGATGCCACTGTTATATCTTATTTTTCAGGACCTCGGTTTTAGGGTCTGTTGTACAAAACGGCCTAAAAATATTATTTAAGTATAATTTATCTTGGCCTGGTTATTGCGGTCATGATACTGGTAGAAACTTCTGTATGTTAATAAAGGGACGTAACTCTAACCATCATTCTGGAGAAGGGCTACCATGTCAGTTTCTAAAGGTGACTAAACTGTCTGGATCAACATAAGTCGATTATATGGAATACACAGAATGTTCCTCCTGGATATGACTGTTTTAAACTTTTCAACTACCAAAATAGCATTTTGTATATTTAGGTGTAAAAATGAGGCATCTAGCATATTTGTCCTGAAAATAGTGTCCACCTTGCATTGCCCTTGAGGAAACATGACAATTATTTATTACTTCAAGGGTTGTATGTACAGGACATTTTACTTAACTTACTTATGAGAATGACTTAATAAATGTTAAGCAATTCCAGAACAATGTGATATCATTTGTGGATGTTGCCATGGTTACATGAGGTATATATGCTGGTAAGTGCTTGAGGTGTTGGAATTTTTAACAAACCATTGATTTTCATCACACTAGAAAAAAAGTCTGTACATATCTTTTGTCAATGCCAAAGCCAGTACTGTGAACATAACTGTGTGCCTATCTATTAGTTTTGTCTTTCCTTGTCTTTTCTTTGTTTTTATTTCTTGTGTCTTGATAAGTGTCCCTGATCTGTATAACAGCCGACTAGATAGTTGGAGGTCAGAGATTGGAACATTGGTCAAACCAGTTTTCAGGTATTTGTAACACCTGGAAAACAGTCGACAACCCAGTTGTGTAAGGTGTTAGAGTTGTACTGTTCACAATGGTTGTAACAGATTCACTAACCTGATCTGAAGATATTTGGCCCCAAGAGGCCCTTCAAAACAAATATCTTGCAATGGTAGAGATCATGAGTGTTATTCCTGTAGAGACTAACTAGATATTCATGAGTATGTATCTTCAGGACCAGTGTGGAACTTAAGATTGTTACTGCTGGAGAAGTTGATTTCAACAGTTTATAGATCAAGCATGATCCACGAAAGATGTAACTGGGAGAAAATTAGTCTCTTGTGATCTGGATCTAAATCAAGTAATCAAACTTTGGGATGGAAATGCAGGTAGAAAGTGTATTTATTCAATATTTTTTCTTAGTTTGGTTACCATCTAAGATTTATTGGCAAAGACCTGTACAATTTTTTAATTTGAGCCTTTAATCTTCATGGATTAGATGTTGGTGTGCTAGATGTTTCGGTACTCAAGAGTAAGTTTGTCTGTACAGGAATTGTCTCAAGTCTACTTCATTACATTGATTTCACATTATTAATAATCATCATTACAGGTTTTTGTTTCTGAAGACATGAAACCTTTCATAAAAATTTCTTAAGAAGTTGTTATCTATGAAAACTAATTCCTTCATTGTCTGCCAACTTCAAAATACCTATTAAAGATTGTTTGGTTTCAAATCTCTTAAAGAACTGGTTACGTTTTTATCCTTTTTTGTAATCATGAAAATGTTATTATTGTACATTCCGAAACTATTTTGATGTTGTAGACTTGTATGAATTGTTGTCAGTTTCCAATGAAGCCACGATCAACTACAATCAATTGCACACTATGGGGAATATTTTTGTAATTGCATTTTATCCACACAGTGAATCGTTTGTGTTATGAAATTTATGTTATATTTAATTCAAAATTTGTAAAAACATGAAGCCAGAAATTGTAATTATATCATGAATCTAATGCAGTTCTTGAGTAAGTTGAATACATATGAAAGTATGACATGTTCTGAATTTTTTTTTTTTTGGTGGACTTTTTTTAATCTTATGGGATTTATTCAGTTTTTGTATATCAAGTTAAATGGAAGATATTATAAATCATTTAACCATAGGATATTATTCATAAGCTGATTACATTTCTCATATTATCCAGGCTCAAGATCAATTATATATGTGCTCTATTTCAGTAAATATTTGTTTGTATATGGCCAGATGTTTTGCTTGTTTGGTTTACTGATTCCAATTGTAAAAAGATTTTGAATAAATAGGAGTAGGGATAAGTGAAAAAATGAATAAGTAAAATGCATTGCTCAGGAAATTGTTAATATTTGATGTGGATTGGTAGGTGATTAAACACAATAAAGTTCTTGTTCTCTCTTTGTAAAATTTGTTAATTCTAAATCTGTAAATCTATTGTGTTTTCAATTTTAGTCAAATATAAACCCTTGGATTATTTATATTGTTAAAGTGGTATTTATCATCATTAAACAAATCTGCATTCTTATTTAAATTTTCCTGAAGTTATAATTTTTATATTGGCTTATCAGTAAACCAAACAGAAACAAATGTGAGGCCAAATATATTTCATATTGATCCTAACTTGGGTAAGCAATTGTGGCAAGTGAAATTAACCCAATTTTAAGGGTAATTAGAGAATTGCCATTTTGAGAAGATTTTCTTTTAAAATATCACTAATTCCATAACAATGGGATGTCTAGCATTAATGAATGACTGGTCAGGACTGAAACACGTCTCTCCCTGAGAGTATTCAATGCATGTATCTCTTAAAGAGATGGTCTGTGCTGAGTAATTCAACAATGTGAATCCTGTGTACGTGTTGTGGAATGTTTTGACACTTGATATGGATATCTTAGCTGATAGTGATCAGCAACTTGTGTTGTAAAATAAGCATATGTTCATTCCAAAAGCAAATACTCAAAAGTTTGGGAGTAGGCAGATTATTAAGAAGTTTATGATGGTGACTATAGCAATTTGATCAACATCAACTGTATCCAAAAATTCTTCTTCGTGGCCATTATCTTCAGCAATATTTTCAGTATTATGACATCCATTAATATGTATGCATGCACTACTGGAACATCTGGTGAATGTTTCATTTGTTTAATGATACAGTACACTGTTCCTTACAATGAATTAATTGTTAAACACTGGACATGTAGTTCTGTGGGCAGCGGGTAGCCTAATGGTTAAAGCGTTCGCTCATCATACCGAAGACTGGGTTCGATTCACCAGATCGGTACAATTTTGGAAGCCCATTTCTGGTGTCCACTGCCGTGATATTGCTGGAATATTGCTAAAATCGGTGTAGAACTAAATTCACTCGCTCATGCTGCAGTTTAAAATGGAAAGCACACTATGACTCTAAAGCTGACATTCTTTAGTTTTAACTCCCTTGATACAGCAGGGTAAGAATAATGTACCTTCTTGTAACATTGCCTTCCTATGAGGCTAGGGGACAGAGCCACCCGACTGCCTTCTCATGGGAGGCTCCATCCACTAGAACGCCCATGTGGTAAGACATGACCAGAAGTGCATGCATATATATTAGGCATAGCTTTTGTTATCAGGTATTACGTATTTGCTGTTTTACATATCTTGTCAACACATTTTGCTTGAAATAAATTGTAAAAATGTATGATAGTTTTGTACTATTTCGTCTCATCATCTGGCTCCGGATGCTCTTCAGATAAATGGGGCGGTGGGGTAGCCTAGTGGTTAAAGCGTTGGCTCGTCACGCCGAAGACCCGGGTTCGATTCCCCACATGGGTACAATATGTGAAGCCCATTTCTGGTGTCCCCCCGCCGTGATGTTGCTGGAATATTGCTAAAAGCGGCGTAAAACCAAATTCACTCACTCACTCTTCAGATAAACATATGCTTATACAGGTGTTTTTCAGTATGTTTGGTGAATGTTTGGAATCACACTCCAGGATGAGGGACGATGAGTCACGCTGAAACCAGGGTTCGATGCTCCACATGGGTACAAGGTGTGAAGCCCATTTCTGGTGTCCCCAAAGGGTGGTGGGCTAGCCTAGTGGTTAAAGCGTTCGCTCGTAACGCCAAAGACTCAGGTTCGATTCCCCACATAGTACAATGTGTGAAGTTCATTTTCTGGTGTCCCCCACCGTGATATTGCTTCAATATTGCTAAAAGAGGCGTAAAATCATACTCAATCCGGTGTCCCCGCTGTGATATTGCTAAAAGTGGAGTCTAACTAACTCACTCACTCCAGGATGTTTTATCTGTCAAAATGACACCAAAACGAGAGTTTGGAACACATACACATTCAATACAGCGACTTGCCCTTGCCTTTCATGCAATTATTATATTGGTAATAAAAGGACAGGGATAACAGGTCTTCCGGCGTGTGAAAATATTTCCTGTGTATCAGAGAAGAAGCTTTTTTTAAGAAGCAATTATGCCACTCTGCGTTCTCAGTAGTAACACATGTTATATTTGGGATTACACTCTCAGTAAAGTACATATTCTAGTATGTATGTTTGCTTGAATCCCATCCAGGATCGAACCCACACCCTCAGAGTCAGGCATCCGTGTGTGCACCCCAGCCATGTGTGGCCATTTCTGGTGTCCCGGCCTTGATGTTGGAATATTGCTAAAAGCTTTCTACCATTGAAACTTATTATAAGAGTTCAAATCTCATTTTTAATAGGCCACAGGGACAGCTATATCTTAAACAGATATATCTATGACAATCTGTTTCGTGAAGTTTACTAAAATGTATTATAAGGGTAAGTAGTAGAGGGTTTCAGCATTTATGTTCCATGTTTTAGCTCACCTTGCTATCATGAGTGAGAGTGTGTTCCATGTTTTAGCTCACCTTGATATCATGAGTGAGAGTTTATTTTGGGGGATCTTACCATTGAAACTTAAAATCTTTCTAAACATTAGACCGCCTCCGTGGTGTGGTGGTTAGAGCGTCCGCCCGGAGAGCGGAAGGTCGCGGGTTCGATCCCCGACCGCGTCATACCAAAAGACGTTAAATATGGTACTTGTTGGTCCCTGCCTGGCGCTCGGCATTAATGGGTACAACAAGGACTGGTCGGCTAGGAGTCAGTATAATGTGTCTGAGTGGGGTATTCATGCTTCACTGCGGCATGGTATCTCAGTGGGCTAGCACTATAAAACCGGCTTCAGTCTGGGCTAGTACAAGCAGCCGCACATACACATACACACGCATGCACGTCGTCATATGAGCTAAATATTCTCAAGCACGACGTTAAACCCAATTTCACCTCACCTCACCTTCTAAAAATTAAGATGAAAGAAACAGAAATATATTCCATAAAAAGCATACATCTGATCTAACTATCGATTATATTTGCATGCTCATATCAACATCTACACGTGAAGTTCCGGGTTGGGAGTTTGCCTTCAGCCACTCCTGCTGGTCGTAAGAGGCGACTAAGGGCCTCGCTGACACATGTCATCGCATCACAATTGCGTACATCGATGCTCATGATGTTGATCACTGGATTGTCTGGTCGATCATTTACAGACCGCCGCCATATATAGCTGGAATATTGCGGCGTTAACCAATTAACTAGTTTATTATCAGTTACTAACAAACCAAACCATGCCAACATCTAAAGTTACGGTAACATAATTACAAAAGTATTGATTTCTACATAAATCATGCATTGCTGGTTGCAACTAACATGCATGCCTTGTAAATATGTTAAGTTATTGGCCGAACACCTCTCAGTTTGCCATGTGTGAATATTCTGATAGTGTGTAGCTGTTACACATCTCGAGATACGGCGATCGACCTTCCTTCTCTGTTGACAGACGCCCTATTCACTCCTTGATAGCGATTGCACATCGTTGACAGAGATTCCTTTGACGCCTCAGTAACATTTCTGGAAAGGGATATAAACTATCTTGATTTAGAAATAATTCAAGGGGCATTACAACATGCGTATAACACCCGGCTTCCGCTGTCAGCGACGTCGGACGTGTTGACAGGTGCTGTCGTTGTCTTTACACATATCGGGGTACTCATTGGCGGATCCAGAGGGGTGGGGGGTCGGGGGTGGGTGATGATGGTTCAACCCCCCGCCGCCTGTTTGTAAATTCCTTGATCCGCCTTTCTACCTACTGTTTAATTTCTGTCTTTCGAAATTAAATATGCCAATAATATTATATAGGTAAGTTTAGAATATACGTTCAGTTAACATATTGGTATATTTTGCCATTATTTCCTTATTCTGTTTAGTGAAGTTCTGTTGCACGGACTTCTCGCCCCACGTGTCAAGGTGGGGGTGAAGATGAATTTTATGCAGAAGCATGTACAATATGAATGCCGACACCACCCCCACCACCCCCGAATATATGTACAAAGTAAGTGACAATCCCCAACCCCCACCCCCCGTGGGTTATGCACATACAACAGAGTATCCACCATCATAACAACCATTCAGACGTCCACACCTCACAAATCAGCTCCGCCATGCCCGTTTTGACTGGTGTCAAGCACGTGCTCGCTGGACCTTGTGGACATGGAGAAGGATCCACTGGTCCAATGAAGGCCGATGTTTGCTGCTTCATACAGACGGGAGGTCACGTGTTTGGAGGCAGAACGGCACAGCATTTGATCAGAGGAACATTCAAGCTGAAGTTCCATTTAGGGGTGGATCCGTCATGGTTTGGGGGTGTCGTTCCTATAACTGTAAACTCGACCATGGCACAGCTCCCGGGGCATCGAATGGACAGGGGTACCAGAATGTGATCCTAGACGGTGCTGTAATGGCTCATTTCGATACCCATTGTGGACCTTACTAGTGTGTTCAACATTAATGAAACGTGTGTCTGTTGTAACGACCCCGGCAGCCATACTTATTTCACCTTATTTTACGGTGATTTTTTGTGAACTTTAGTTTGCTACAATTAAACCTTTAATTAGTGCTCAAATTCGGTCTTGTGTTGTCAATTTTCTGACTGAACGCTCCGATGAGGGAGGTCATCTAAACAGTTTAATGTGCTTTTCTAAGCACCATTTTTATGCGGTTGTAGATCCAGTTTTGCTTACTGAAAAAAGTGGGTGGTGCAATATTTATGACGAGTTGCATATTATGTTTGTTTTTTCAAATTTTAGTTGCTCACTTAATAGACTAATAATACAACATACAACGCAACCATCCCTTACCGGGAGAAATATATATTTTATGTCATAGACAGTTCATCAACTTAAAAAATAATAACAAATAATTGTAGCTAAATAGGCAATCCCAACACAACAAAAATGCATTGACTCATTCAAATAAATGCACAAAGCTTTGGCTGTTAAGTGTTGAATCCAGTTGGCGCCCATTACCTTTTCTTTGTCACGTTCAAAACAGCATCTCGTTTAGTTGCCTCTAGTTGTTCCCCTTGGGTTGGCTCTTCGTTGTCCTTCAATTCGCATGGTTCCATCAAAGGGAGGCACATCTACATTTTCTCTTTCGTCCCTTATGACCTGTCTTTGTGATTTTCTAATTGCAGACGAATGCTCTTCCCCAAATGTTAGCTTCCGCTTTGTGCAAGTCCTTTTCTCACTCATAGGTTGTTGACTCCCTTCCATTCCTTATCGTATCTCCAGGGCTTCAGTTGCTGCGTCCCATTTGTTGGATTTTCATTGATGAATGGTTTTGATGTCATCATTAATCTTTCCAATGCCCTGGCAACTAACTTGACGCAAAGGTCCTAATTTGGCTTACATGACAGTTGCGTGGTAAACAAGGCAGTGAATTTACAAAGTTACACTAGCTTTGCCATATCCTGTTCCTCTAAAGACAAGAATCAGTTCAGCCATACCTTAACTTTGTTGAAAATGGCTTCCACAGTTATCCTGCACCAGCACCCACAAGAACGTAGACCACCTCTCCGATACATGAAGTAATGGTGTTCACCGTAGGAGTGAGTAAAACACTCTCAAGATTTTTGGCAGTTTATATGAGATTTTAATCTTGTCTATGCCTGATAAACACGTCAAGTTAAGATTTGCATTACTTTTTTTTTGTTTCTTCCCAAACCGAAAATACAGAAAGGCACGAGCTTGATTGATCGAATTCCTATCCAGTACTTCAGTAATACGATGTAGCATATGTAATCTATGTAGTACAAAAATGCCGATTTCAATGACCATCAAAGGTAAATGTTTGACACCAAATATTAGGTTAGAAGCTCTACAGTGGAACCCACAAGGCAAGCGAGCGAGGGGACGTCCCAGAAACTCATGGCGAAGATCAACTATGGAAGAGATTACTAAAGCTGGTTACTCCTGGAGCACCATTGTACAACACGCCCAGACCCGAGTCAGATGGCGGTCGATAGTCTGCGGCCTATGCTCTACCAAGAGCGAGAAGGCATACGTCAAGTAAATCTATTAGGTTAGGGGCACAACGTTTTACACTGGACATAGATCTCGCAATGTTGGGGCCTTCATGATTGTGATTCCATGTCCTGCTGGTCTCCCAGCGCTCCTCTGTGTGTATTTTGCACCACAGACAAGCAGAGTTGGCTTTTGATGCACCAAGCCCCAGTACTATTTACATCATTTTCATATCAGCAGAGAAGACTATATTCACACTTGCACTCTCATTCCCTACATCTTTCCCGCCCCTCGACAAAGGAAATAACTACAAGGTTTGATGTTCTACTAACCCTTGTACCTTCTCATCCTATCTTCACCGTAAACCCTTTTGTCTGACGGGTTGGCTTTCAGTTTTTCACCTGGAATTTTTGGAAGATTGTTTTGGAAACCGACATATGCTCCTACCAGTGTATGAAATAAGCCAAAAACCCAACCAGACATCAGGGCTGGTAACTTCAAAATGTTACCAGCCCAAAATGGATTTACCCGGACCAGACACCAGACAAGGGTGCCGTTGTACAAAACAACCTTAGCGCTAAGGTGACCGTAACTCCCATATCTTAAAATAGGCTTAAGGTAGTCTTAGCGCTAAGGTGACCGTAACTCCCATATCTTAACATAGACTTAAGGTAGTCTTAACACTAAGGTTGTTTTGTACAACGGCACCCTGGTCTGGTTAAATCCATTTTGGGCTGGTAACATTTTGAAGTTACCAGCCCTGATGTCTGGTTGGGTTTTATGCATGGAACATCTAAAAATTTTACCAGACCATCGGGCTGGCTAGCTGTAAATCTAGACCGTCCGTCAGAAATCTAGCCCATCTCGGGCGGTTGGACGGGCCTTATTTCATACACTGCTCCTACTATATTTCCGGAACTCGTCCGATGTGTCACTGAAACATTTCCTCCCTGGTTTAGCCGTTACCCAATTGGAGATGTGAAACTAACTCCTACACCGTGTCCGTTCAGTTTGTACCACCAACTGCCACACAATGACAACCTAGCAAAGTCTGTGAGTTCCACCAGCTTGCACCCACGGTAGATTCCAGACACGTAGCGGTAGATATCCAAAGGAAATTTCATTGTTGAGTAGCCAGACATTACACGTCTTTCCTGAACATTGGTCTCAAGAACCCCCACAGCTGCAGTGAGAGGGGCGTCTCTATTGGATGACAATATATGGATGAACAACCTCTTTATTTCAGTGAGAGCGACGTTTCGGTGTAGGTTTCAACAGCATTATCAAGCAAGTGTTTGAATATGCACCGAAACGTCGCTCTCACTGAAATAAAATTGTTAATCCATACATACCCGAGAAGATCCGGGTTAGAATTTGTCTTCAATAACCCATACTTACGGGATCGGGGGATCTCGCTCGCTGATTTTGTTGACCCATGTTATAGTATTCCAATTGAGTAGATCGATGCTCATGATGTTGATCACTGGATTGTCTGGCCCAGACTCAATTATTGACTATGTATAGATAACATATTGCCGAGTGCGGCGTTATACAACAAACAAACACGCCCGATAATCCATATATTTTCATGAATGTCTTACGAATTAAAGCGAGAAGTTGCGGGAATTGGATAAAAGTCTCAAACTTTGTTTAGTTCAGGTTGCCACAACAGAGTCGAAGGTTTATCGGGATTAATCTGATTATCTCTAGCTCCATATGTTTCAAGATTTGACCTACTTACTTGATTCAGTTATTTCAACCGTTCTTCAATAAAGTTAAAACATAAACACGTTGAGTATGACTGAGCCTATTCTGGTCGGGTACAGCGGAGGGTAAACTAACATTTAGCCTATGAAATATTAATACAACTATTTTTCGAAATATTACTCAAAAGGAGTCTTCTTTCATAACGTAATTAGCTGGACTTGCCCATTGTAGTCTCCAGACCGAATGTACCATGGTTTTGACTATATTTTATGATTCTGTACCACAATGTTGGATTTGGATGATATTATGAGGCTATTCATCAAGAAACGACATTTCAACCTCCTTAAACATTCCTAATCACTGGACGAAGTTATGTGGAAATGACATTGATTTTTGCACTAGACTAACAACTATTCTCTGAAATGAACATATTTTACAGCAAAACAGTTCATAATAAAAATAATGTAAAATGAAAAGGAGCCCAGAGACTTTCTTCTGAAACTGAATCTAGACTTGCCACATAATCTAGACTTTCAAGGGCTTTCTTGGATATGTTTGTTTCAGGGTCTGTATGACAGACTAATTTTCCATCAAAACCTTAAACTTTGGTACTTAACTATGTCAAAATCAAACCCAAACTGTGGAACTAGGTATTGCGATCTTGTGCAGCGGGACGTAATGAGGCAAAACAAGAGTTTACACTAATCAGTGGGCTCAATGAAATTGAGATTTTCGAAAATGTTTCGCATTTAGGCCAGATAATCCAATTATAAACAGCATGAGCATCAATTTACGCAATTAGGATACGATGACATGTGTCAGCCAGGTCAGAGAGCCTGACCACCAGATTACCTTAGTCGCCTTAAACGAATGCGAGTATGGTTTTACGGCGCTTTTAGTAATGTTCCAGAAATATCACGGCGGGGGACACGAGAAATGGTTTTACGACAAGCATGCGTTGCTGAAGACCAATTCTAACCCGGATCTTCGCGCGAATCTCTATCATTCATGTACCATAACTAACTATCTGCAGCAACAGGTAACAGGTAACAGCACAAAATTGCAATGGTCAGCCATGAGTCCTAGGTCTTTCCCCGTGGGGACATGATCGAAAGTCAGGCTTTATATATCTTCTTTCTCCCTCATCCCCACCCCCCGGAAAAACCAAACAAACAACAACAAAAAACAAGAACAAAACCAAAAACATAAAAAACAAACAAGCAACAAAAAATCCCTCCAAAACAAACTCCACCCCCAAAAAAAATAAATACACACAAAAAAACCCAACAAAACAACAACAAACAAACACAACAACAAACAAAAAACCCAATTAAATCAACAACAAACAAACGAAACAAACAACAACAACAAAACAAACATCCCTCCCCCAAAACAAGGTTTACAAACAAACAAACCAACAAAGCAAAAACAGGAAAAGAAACAGAAACAACAAACAAAAACAACCCAAACCAAAAATCAAATAAAGGAAAATAAACCCTGTCGTCGAAGATGGACTCGGACGTTGTGGAATTCATGACTTCAAATCTCTGTCGTCAATCTTGGCTGTGTACAATACAACACCAACAAGTTCTGTCGGTTATCAACTTTCACCTAGTCCTTCCTTGTTAGTTATCGATCAAATACCATCACTCGATACATCTTTGTATTTCATCAGTAATCTTTCAACATTCTCAATATCTAATTACAAAGGAAGTCAAAGACAATGCATATACAGCTTTCTGCCTATAAATAATCTATTGACGTGCTCTCATCCTTAATTATCACCCTGTATCTGATTGATAATCAATATGCATTGTGTATCCATACCAGCACTGTTAGGATCGAACACAGTATGGTAGACCGCCTGTCATTTGAGATTGGAGGGCATGGAGTTTGTAAACATGTAAATTACATACACAAAAAATGTCAACGTCATAGAACTCCAGTCGTGCTTATCCGAAACATAACGATTACTGCTCATAAACATAGAAAGACGGCGACATGATCGATAACCGGACAATATGCACACGTCAAGGAACCTATCGTGTATGAAAATGTTCCATCGGTATCAAAAGCTTTTGTCCATATTTCTGATGTGTGTTGGAGGCTTATACCAGAGACAAATATTCCAGGCTTATGACGACACGCATTTCGCGAATGATACATGTTCTGCGATGTTGTCAGTTGACATGTGCAAATGAGAGATAAGATAAAAATTAAGATTATTGTAATCAGTTTATTGGAGCTGTCGATGTAATGTTTAACTGACAAACGCAGCCGGTGAAATCCCGCTAAGAGAATTAACTCTCGGCCCGGATATTACGCAATATTGTTTACGTGGTTACCAGAGTGCTCATTTGCGAATGTCTGCGCATCTGTTGCGCATGTGTACCGGTAGAGGGAAGTTAGCAGCAGGGTGTCGATGTGTATCAGTTACATGTCAGGCCGTAGCGCTGATGGTTAGTGATAAACTGTTGTGGAGGTCCGTCCCTCTATTATATGGTCTCTGCTTATACACATGTTTTCCACGGGGGTGTATTTGGTGTTTTCTTTCCAAGTCGCCAAAGACTGAGTTGCTTTGCCGGAAGTATACAAAACTAGGTCGTCAGCGCCGGGCTTTACTTCCTCCGGCGATCTGATTGTTAAACACTTTTGTTAAACAACACACACATTCATTTGTTGTTATATCATTAGCCAATCAGATCGCCTATGTTCCTAAATTATCCGGGGCTGATCACAGAAACGGGTGTGTGTGAGTTTTAAGTTTACACCACTGTTCAATAGTTAAGCCATTACGTGACAACAATACGTCATACATTAACAATAAATGTAATATGTACAGTTTACAAGACTATCGTCGAAGTACATTGAGGGGTAAACATTTCCATCGCGTCGGCAATATTACGAACATACAGCCAAGAAAACTTGGTATTTATCAAACATATCTGTCGACAAAGACCAGAAAAAATGGTTAGGTATATCACATGTTTCGAAAAAACCAACCCAATGAAAATATGACTGAACGATAGTCATTAGATGTAGATTTATCAATCAAGGCTGGTTATAGACCATTGACAAACAAAGTTTGGCCACCTTATTGGGGATCAGTGCTTTACATGATTCCTCAGCCGGAGAAGTAGTTTGAAAACACTTGAAAGAGTATATTATTGTTCCACCACACAGTATATAAACGGGTTATAGATTGCAAGCAACCACATTGAGCACTCGAATAGTATGGATTTACGAGAACGGTTAATTTTATAAGAGTGAGTGAGTGAGTTTAGTTTTACGCCGATTTTAGTAATATTCCAGCAATATCACTGTGCCCATGTGTGGAATCGAACTGGGTCTTCAGCATGACGAGCGACCTAATTTCAAAAGAAAGGTACAAGGGTGTAATATCCTGACACAAAGGTACACGTATCCCAAACTGGCCTCAGTATTGTCAGACTTGAAAAGTATAGTATTTCCAATTGTTATCATTGATGGTATTCCCATCATGGCCAGCGAGAAGTTGACACGTCACATTGTTGGCTGACGTCATTGTTTGGAAGGCACCACAGTCTATTTCCGCTCGGCAGTTTACTGCGCAAGTCGCTATAGAATCCACAACCATCTCCTTCAAGACAGTGTCCTGTCTCCGGATGCCAGCGTTCAATGTAAACTGTAAATCTGGAAGAGAGTGAGTGTTTCAGTTTGAGAAAGTTCAGTACGTGGTAGTTCTCTATTATTTATAGCCCGCCTCTTATTTAATGTGAAGCTGGGATTCGAACACCTCAGCGGATCCTGGTACGACAACTTCGACTTACAAAGTGGTCAAATGTAACATGTTATATTTGGGATTACCCTTTCTCAGAAAAGTGCAAATTGTTTTACTTTTTCCGGTACCGGATGGCGCGGCGAGGGACGCCAGAAATGGGCTTCACACATTATACCCATGTGGGGAATCGAACCCGGGCTTTCAGCGTGACGAACTAACGCTTTAACCACTAGGCTACCCCACCGCCCCGCTTGTCGTAAAAGGCGACTCTGATCGGATTTTCAGGCTCGCTGACTTGGTTGACACGTGTCATCGTATCCCAATTGCGTAGATCACTGGATTGTCAGGTCCAGACTCGATTATTTACAGACCGCCGCCATATAGCTGGAATATTGTTGAGTGCGGCGTAAAACTAAACTCACAGCAAAGGACACTTTTATCTTACACTTTATTAAAGAACACAATTTTGCGATTAGAATATATTGATTTTTAACTTATGTGGAAATGTATAATAGAAATATCCGGCCTCACCTCCACAAGCGTGCAGGCCCTTGATGGAAACCTCAGCGAAGTCCAAAGGACGGTCCGTCATGGTGACCTTGACCTTCCGTGCGGTCAGCAGCTCATCACACGCTATGACCTCAGTGACCAACTTTAGAATCCTCCCTGGGTAGTAGTGACACAGTCGGGTGGTCGGGCTCGAGTGGTCAGAAATTAAATCAATTGTAAAGTTCTTCAGTCGATTATCTAGAAAGAATATGACTTGTATATTTTAGGTTATTACATTTCAAGATGTTTGAAGCTTGAAGTAATTTCTTACTAACCCTTTATCTGTACACAAGCTTTCCTCATTATTAATCTTCTGTGCACAACCACTTGTCGAATGAGTGAGTAAGTGAGTGGGTGAGTGAGTGAGTAAGTATGGTTTGACGCCGATCATAGCAATAGTCCAGCAATAGTCATGGCGGGGGACACAAGAAACGGGCTTCACACATTGTACCCATGTTGGCAATCGAACCCGGGTTTTCGGCGTGACGAGCAAACGCTTTAACCACTAGGATAACCCCCCGCCCCTTCTTGTTGAGATAGACCAGGGTAAGGGTAGTTAAAACATATTAAAGTCGGAAAAATGTCACACCTCGAATAATAAAACCATTTCAGATTTTCATTTGAAACTGTAAAATGTTAAAAAAAACGACTTTAGAAAATCGTATTAAATCTTCAGCCCAACTCTATTGCAATAAAACAATCAAGAAAAATAATTTATTCTTTACTCTAAGCACATTTCCTGTTTCTCACATTCCGTTTATTTATACTGCAAGTATATCTATGTGACTGCTTGGAATCGAGTTTTCTAGGCTGGACAACTGGTGCCCAATCCTTTTCTTTCATGAATAAAATATGTTTAAACCAAAAACAAACATTATATGCCTCAGTTCGTGCTTCCAAATTCAAATTACATTTTAAGTTTTCGTTTTAAGTTTAAGTTTCCACAGCAACTCACCGCAGCACCCTCGGTTCGTGATGCTGACGCTGAAGATGTAGTAGGTATGGAGGAGGTCCACCTCCCACCAACTGACCGGCGCTAATGGCCCCCCAAGGGGATGGATGAATGTTGTGGTGTTCCCATCAACTGCTAATGATGGTGGGTTTCCATCACGATATTCATTCATTGATGCTGGCTTGCCCAGAGCAACGTTCCTGAAGCCATCCACTGTGAATGGAAATTTCCAGCTATATGGTGGCGGTCTGCACATAATCGAGTTTAGACCAGACAATCCAGTAATCAACAGCATGAGCATCGATCTACGTAATTGGGATACGATGACATATGTCATCTATCTATCTATCTATCTATCTATCTATTGTATCAGAGAAACGTGCTCATAGTTGGCTTGAAGTTTGAAAATTTCCATCTTTCACAGTTCCTTTTATCAATTCTTCTCTATTTTCTTTCGTCATAGATCCTTAACATACGAACGAATGGCCACCGTGACGCCATTACGCTATTTGAAACACTTCAGATCTATTTACTACCTGTAGTCACAGTGAGTGAGTGAGTCAGTGAGAGGGCAGTATTTCAGTCACATCAATAATATAGATACCTATTTACAAAGGACAATAGTAAAATAACTAGACAATCACAGATATAAACTCTGTCAAAAAAGAAACGCAACCCCTGTCCTCAGATATGAAAAATTCGTTTGAATGAAGTTATTGCTTCCAAACTAAATTTTATTCGAATGTATTGAAATTATACACGTAATTAATGAAGATTACCATCCAAACAACTGCATTTGTACGCATAAGTGTATTTTATTGCTTATTCCGTCACAACGCATGAAATGACCCTCATGGTGACTTCGCACAAAAAAACCACATGCAAATCATGAAAATGGCAGTTAATGTAGGGGTGTATAAAAGCCCATGTGCTTTCGTATTATATTCATTCATTTGTCGCTGAAAAGCTGTGTTAAAAATGCCACGATTGAGTGCTGCCGACCGAAATATCGCCATTGGTCGTGTTCAAGCCGGAGAAAGTTTTGGAACTGTTGCACGGCACCTAAATGTTCACAAAACAACGATATCCCGACTTTGGAGCCGCTACAACAACTTCAATTTGACCAACGATCGCCCGAGAAGTGGAAGGCCAAGAATCACGACCCCCCTTCAAGATCGGTACATCCGGGTCCATCACCTATGTAATCGGCATGCCCTACCAACCGTGACTGCCACACAAATACCAGGTTTGAGGAGAGTGTCAGCTCAAACGATTAGGAACCGTCTGAAAGAAGCGGGTTTACGTGCCTGTAGACCAGTTGTTGGACCTGTACTACGCCCCCTACATCTCCGCCGACGACTCAGGTGGTGCAACAACGTAAGGATATGGACTTTACAAAACTGGAGGCGAATCTGGTTTTCTGATGAATCCCGTTTTCTTTTGCAACATCACGACGGAAGAAAACGTGTGTATAGGAGACGTCATGAACGTTTTGCGCCCATCTGCGTCCGACAGGTGGACAGATTTGGCGGAGAAAGCGTCATGGTTTGGGGATCCATCTCATACAACCAGAAATCAGACTTGGTGATCGTTGAAGGGAACCTGACAGCCCAACGTTACATCAACCACGTATTACAGCCTCACCTTCTCCCGATTATTGACCAACAGACACAGATTTTTCAACCAGACAACGCCCGGCCTCATACTGCACGTGCAACAATGAACTTTCTGCAGAATTCCAACGTCAATGTCTTGCCATAGCCCTCTAAATCACCAGACCTCAACCCTATTGAACACCTGTGGGATACTCTGGGTCGACGCGTACGTCAACGTCAGCCGCCGCCACAGACGCTGCAACAGCTCGGCGTTGCACTGCAGGAGGAGTGGAGAGCCATTCCCCAGGAAAGAATCCGGCGTCTTATCCGTTCTTGTCCAAGTGGATGCCGTGCAGTGATTGCACCTCGTGGTGCTCATACGAGATACTGAGAAAGACGCCCCCCTGGTGACAAACTGGTGTCTGTGAGATGACTTTTGAAATGACAATTTTAAACATGCCCATCTTGGTTATTATTCTGCCAAATTTCAGACTTCTGTCTTAAATAATAAAAATGCTGTGTCGTCTTAAAACTTCAGATCAAAATCTCTAAAATACAGGGGTTGCGTTTCTTTTTTGACAGAGTTTACATTTAAAACTAGCATGTAACCGTAAAACGATATTTCAATACCGACAATACACTATTAAAATTGGCTATAAAGAAGCTAACAACTGAAGGTACATCACCATACGAGATACCCTGGGGACTCTTTTGCTACCTGCATCTACCGCAGATGTATGTACACCACCCCTTCTGATGTTAACGATTTTGACATATCTAGCCACAGATTTCGTGAAAAGATATTCTGTAAAACCGTGGTACAAAATATGCTGAATTACGTGATCTTAACCTGTATTCACATTTTCACAAATATGTTATTTAAATGAATTATTTAACTTTCACTCACCACTTGCCGGAATTACTAGATATGTTATTAGAAGTATAACACATGTCCTGAATGTCTCCATGTCCTTTCTGCTGTGTCGCCAGTCCATCAAAATGTATGACATGCTGATAGAAACAAATTAATCGTTAAATCCAATAATAGATACAGACCTATTCTCAAAATGTCACAGATTCTGTAAAGCTTCAAAGATAATCTTTATACTGGAACACTGAATCTGAAGATCAGACATTTACCATTGAAGAACGACGCACGAATGTGCGTTCATTGTCAATGTTGTCTTGACAAAGTTAGTCGCGGAACCGTTCTGATCAATAACAAGCTAGTGTTGAAGTGAACCAGCTTTCATATATCTGCTTGTGTTTAAGTGACTTAATAAGAATTTCAGGGGCCTGTGAAAATACCGTCATATCAAACGACATATTCTTTAAGACAAGGCTTACCTTTTCTGCAAGAGGCTTACCTGTTTCTTCAGATATCTTTGAAGTGAGTAGGAACGTTCTAGCAAGCGTCCTCTTGATAGATATGAAAGATCATTGCTTGATATTGATTTTTATCTGAGCCACTCATGTACTTAAGTTTTCAAATCTTACCTTGCCTTTTGCGCCCTCTTGCGTTTCATATCTAGCACATCTAATATTGAGCCCTATAACAAGAGGGTATGACAAGAGGGTATGATAATAGGGTATGACAAGAGGGTATAACATGAGGGATGACTTACACTTTATAGATGTGAATTTTCCGTCAATATCCTAGCAGCTTCAGCTTTTGCTCTCAACGTTTAACAAATCAAGCATCTGTAAGAACAATTCCCATCATATCGAATCTCAATTGCTGTTTAATATTTCATTTCATCAATACTGTTTACATGACACTCAGTACCAAATCGTGTTTGCGAAGTCATTGATAAATTAACGTTGACGTAAACGTCTGTTTAGCTCATTTCACCGATTCCCAGTTGTACTTGGACCTTGAAGAACCGGTTTACAATTGGTCTTTAGCAACCCATGCTTGTCGTAAGAGGCAACTAATGGGATCAGGTGGTTAGGCCCGAAGACTTGATTGACAATTGCCTAGATAGGTGGTCATGATGTTGATCAATGGATTGTCTGGTCCAGTGAGTGAGTTTAGTTTTACGCCGCACTCCAGCTAATATTCCAGCTATATGGCGGCTGTCTGTAATTAAAACTTTGTAAGTAAAGGTGGTGTTACATAGTTTTGTCTTCAGAGGTTCGGGAAAACGTGCCAACACATGAAAGCAAATGTCATCTCAGTTTTATCGTGGAAACAATATATTAATGAAAGCTGGTTTCCTCATTACAAACATCTATTATGTAAACATTTAGACAGGAAATAGGCATCCCAGGGGGCACCAATAATGCCTTCCCGTCATTTCGCATGACTTAAAACTTCTGGCAAAATACAACAAGGTAATCTGGCCAATAGGTTTAATTATATCTTCAGGCATAACGATGATCTGATATCGTTAATCAGACACCATCAAAAAGCAAGTTCCCTTATGGGTTTACCCCTCTGAACTTGAAATAAAGAAGATAATTGAGGCCGCCTCATCTGCTTCATAGTTTGATCTGTGCTTAAAGATACAGAGTGACAAACAAAAACCACACAACTCATCAAAGTCTTTCCAATCGTCAACTTTCCCTATGTATTTCGCAGTCAGTATGCGCTTTTAAAAAAGATTTCCAAAATATTTTGCTTAGAAGTTTTTCGATCAAGGTTACAACATTGAGGGCCTCGGTAAAGCTATCAAAAAGTTGTTATGTTCGACACGAGTTCCGAATCTGACGAGTCAGTGGTAAAGATGCAACGGTTATGTCGCTTATATTTAAAGAATATCTTTTCTAAGCTAAGAACACTGTTTCCTAAAACTTGCTATTTCTGTAAAGAGTATAATTTTGACCTGAGACCATTTTGATTATAACTTTATTTGACATGCATAACAAAGATGCATATCGTCCCCCCCACAAGCAAGCAGGGCCTGGACAGAGACCTCAGTGAAGTCCAGATGACCGCCCTGCCTGGGGACTTGACCTTCCGTGCAGTCAGCAGGTCATCATCACAAGTAATGAACCCAGTGACAGACTTTACAATTGTCCCAGGGTAGAAGTTGCACAGATGGGTTGGAAAACAGGTCGTCAAAAATTAAATCAGTTTAATTTGCACTTATGTCACTCTTCAGTGTGCACAGCCACTCGACGAGACGTAACGGGCCAACCGTGGTTTTGAAACATCATTCAAGTCAAAAGAAATTCATACCAAAAATAATTTACTCCTTTCAAACACATGGACTCAATCTTGAAAGAAACATCAGATTTGGGTCATGTGCCCCTGAGATCGGACAGAGATGATACCACTGAATCACATTTGTATGATTACGTCCGTTGTAGGATTTCAAAGCTACTCACCATAGGACCCTCGGTTTGTGATGCTGACGATGAAGTTGCAGTAGGTGTCGAGGAGGTCCACCTCCCACCAAATGACGTAGCTAGTGGTCCACTGGGTGCATGAATGAATGTTGTGGTGTTCCCATCAACTGCTGCCGATGGTGGGTATCCCTCACGATGTCCGTTCATTGACGCTGGGTTGCCATGAGCAACTCGGGTGAAGCCATTGACCGTGACTGTAAACAGTTATGGCAATTGCTCCTTGCTCTGCAAAAACTACCTAAGATACGTGAATGAATGTTGGTACATTTATCTACCAGATCCGTGTCAAAGCCTATTTCCAAGTGGCATTTGGAAGCTTAAATCTCGATGAAGACAGTGAGTGAGTGAGTTTAGTTTTACGCCGCACTCAGCAATATTCCAGCTATATGGCGGTGGTCTGTAAATAATCGAGTCTGGACCAGACAATCCAGTGATCAACAACATGAGAATCGATCTGCGCAACTGGGAACCGATGACATGTGTCAACCAAGTCAGCGAGCCTGACCACCCGATCCCGTTAGTCGCCTCTTACGACAAGCATGGGTTACTGAAGGCCAATATTCTAACCTTGACCTTCACGGGTACGATGAAGACAGAGTTTGTATTGTTGATAGAGACTTAAACCTGTATTCAAACCTATCCTGATTTCGCAATATAAGGTCCGTCAGTGTATATAATGAAACTCCACTTCCCTGTTTTCAGGATATAATTATTAACAGAGATTGATTCTGGCTGTGCCTTCGACGGGTGTTGAAGTACCGCAATATTATTACCCCCCCTGAGAAGGTACCAAAGTCCCATTTCATTCCAAGTATTTTTATATCCGCGATCGTTTTTATAGTAGCATATTTGTTCTTTTAATGTACGGCTAAATTTTTGCAATAATCGCCAGCGCCTGAAGGGACGGTGTAAGTCCTTCTGGGGTCCATGGAGGAAGTCTCTGGTATGGCCATCTACCTTCAGTTGCTGGCGATCTGTAGCCCGTTTTTATATTGTATTGTTTTCTGTAGTGATATATTTTGTACCATGCTGATTTAAACCCAAATCTGTGATACTCTGGTAGTTGTACTGTCCTTTGACGACAGGTTTTTATTGTATAGATATATTTAGGTTTGATGTAGGGGTTGTTCCCGTCACGATATGGCTAAAATATAACCGATGTGACGTTAAATATTAACTCACTCACACTCACCCAAGAATAATAAAGTGGTCATGTGCAGAAAGACACATTTCCTTAACGGTTCCATCTTCTGTAACCACATGGGGGCGTTGGAGTAGCCCAGTGGTTAAAGCGTTGGCTCGTCACGCCGAAGACCCGGGTTCGAATCCCCATATGGGTACAATGTGTGAAGCCCATTTCTGGTGTCCCCCGCCGTGATGTTGCTGGAATATTGCCAAAAGCGGCGTCAAACCAAACTAACTCAGTCAGTCAGCCAGTTTGTAACCACACCGATATATGCATTGGTGACGCACGTACGATCCACTATGTATATAATCTGGAAGTTATGTATAGTATATGATGCTACACAACCTCAAAAGCAAACGAAGAAACCCCCATAATTTTGGAACAATGAATCTGAAAAGCATACTTATACACCTGGGGCAACATACTTGTTATGTAGCCAAGTTGAACACAACTTCGAATCAATACGTAGAATTACGTACCGCCATTGCCAGAGGCATATTCTTGAATGACATACATATTTGATTGTCAGGACTTGTTGTAAAGGTTTTTTTCAAAGTCGATAAGGAATTAATAGCCTGTGGTAACGGTTTGCTATCAAGCTGGTGATTCTGTCAAGTCCAAATTCGAGTGTTTACAAACCATTTGCTGCATCAGGGTATTGAGATAGTGTTTGACTTAAAGGAATCGAACCAGGGTCTTTAGCGTGACGAGCCAACGCTTTAACCACTAGGCTACCCCACCGCCCTATTCGTAAAGAGCGCTCCAAGGAACATATGGGGTTCGCTTGAAATAATGTTCGGCCGGTAGAGGACGCGAGAGTCAATTTTATTCAACGTTGCATTAATTTATTTGTACTTTGTATTGAATATTGTTGTCTAAATACGTAATTGGAATAAATTATATGGTAGGGTTGATAGGTAGTATTATTGAGAGAAATGCATTATTTATCTTTAGAGAAGTGTGGTGTGAAACAGTGCCTTTAATACGACAACGCCAACATTAAGTCCGTGAGTTATTTCCTAGATGAAGATGTTCAGTCAGTTTTGTTGCTGAAGATGCTTAATGAATGCTAAGGAAAACCAGATCAATGCTTCAAGGATCAACTTCAGATGGTTTCATCTGGAAACTGATCAAACATCAGGCTTACTATACCTTATTGAGTGGTATTTGAAAGGCAAGATACTTTATGTATGACAAGTTATTTTACTGTTATGATGCGGCGTTTTGGAAAAAATATCATCCATAAAACATCTCATCTTCACAGAGATACCACTGAAGCATTCCTTGAGGGCATTTGGTCAAATATTCGACAAATAAAATTGGCACATGAGTATTATATATCTTCTTTGTGTTGTCCTGACTTTTCATGGAGTTTGCACTTGTGAAGAGTAATCTCCTGGATGTGAGTGCTGGGTAATGCTAATAGCTCTTCCCCCGTGGTGACCGTTTTGCCGATCGTAAGAAGCGACCAAATTTGGCACCCTGTTTGCCTCAGGCTTCGTCAATGGAGGAAGGGATTCTGGTGGTTGAGGGCACTGGTTTCAAAGATAGCGTTCCTTTGCACCACTTTGACCTTATCTTCACATTGACGGTGGGGTAGCCCAGTGGTTAAAGCGTTCGCTCGTCACGCTGACCCTGGTCTATCTCGACAAGAAGGGGCGGGGGGTTATCCTAGTGGTTAAAGCGTTAGCTCGTCACGCCGAAAACCCGGGTTTGATTCCCCACATGGGTGCAATCTGTAAAGCCCATTTCTGGTGTCCCCCGCCGTGATATTGCTGGAATATTGCTAAAAGCGGCGTAAGACTAAACTCACTCACTTTAATGAGAAGTAGAATGGGTTCTATCAAACAGCTGCGACGCCAAGCAATGTGGTACTACAATGGGATGGAATTTCGAATTGATAAAAGCATGATAACATGATTTTTGTTCTTGCTTTGCGAAATGATTTGTACCTGGGAATTTCAAAACACAGCTTCCTTAATGTTTTTGCCCATAATCGTATAGTTTTCTGTGGGAGTATATCATCTGAGTATCCTTGGTGCAACAGTAACAGACCCACTTGCTCTTAGCATTGTCTTCATGATAGCCCATCGTGGGTGGGGAACTCGGATGATAATCTTTAACCACTAAACATGGCTTACGAGACCCTTTGAGAACTCAAACCTTCACTGATCCTGATCATATCGAACACAGACTGCACAAATCAATTGACTACTATCCGCGTTTGATAGAGATTGAGACTTTAGATAAGACACGTGAAAGCTGAAGCCTTTCACTGTATCTAAGGGCTTCCGAGACAATGCTGACCTGGGAAGATTCGGAAATAGAAGCGGTCTCCAGCAACCTATGCTGGCTGTAACAGGCGACTAACGGGATCGCGTGGTCAAGTTCTTGGTTAACACATGTCATCGACGCTCATGCTGTTGATCACTGGATTGTCTGGACCAGGCTGTTTATTTACAGACCGCCGCCATATAGCTTGGACTTTGGCTGAGCACAGCGTTAAACAAACAAACGTACAAATAAAAAGTCTTCCAAGTTTATTTTCCTGAAGTTGTGGAGATCAAAATCATCGTTTGCCGATTCCCCGTTTGTTTTGTTCTTGTGAACTTATAGTTGCCGAGATAACACAATATTGATTTTCATGTGACTAGCTGACATGTTCATAGTGACAGAGCTTGTAAAAGATATACTAAAATAGCAGTATTCAAGGCTGCCGGGAGCGATTTTTAAGTAGATTGATAAGTAGTTTAGAAACACATTAAACTGGATCTCTTCAGAAACCACGTGCAGAGGGAATGGCTGACACGTGGAATGACTTGGAAAACTCCGGTGCGAACGCCTGGTCTGAAATACTTCATGGATTCCATGGATATGTAAGCAGCGAATCTATCTATTGTTTACAACAAATAACCCATCTTAAATGTCATTTCTGATTGTGAACCGATGGTACCGTACCCGGAAACATTAAGCGTGACAACTCTCAATGGGGAAGCTCTCACGTGAGAAACAAAAAATAAGAAGTTGTTATCCATAAGATTTGTCTTGTGTGAGGAGTTCTTTACTGATTAATCATTCACATTCAAATTACGTCAATGCTATTTATGAACTTCTGTGTTGAAAGTTCGTAATGTGTGTTCGTAACTATGACGTTAACATGACGTAACGTATTGGCTCAGCTCAGCCAGCGTTACTTGCCGCTCCCGATCAGGGGGACTGTCTTTGGCGTCGACCATCTCATCCCAAACAGAGGTCCTAAGGAATATACTATCAAGGCATTACAGCAATGATATCATGAACTTTTACAACACGTGTACAATGTGGCCTGGCACTATCCTGTCACGTCCCTGCTCTTGAACAAAGGAGTTTTAACAGCAGAATATTTGTTATTCACCTGAACGTAAAATGTAAATCCAGCTAGGATCCATGTAGCAAAGGTACTGTAAGTCCCCGTGGTCCCTACTGTAGGGATCTCCCTTCAGTTGCCGGCGATCTATAGCCCGTTTTTAATAATGTGTTCTTCTAATTAATGATATCTATAACATGATGGTTTTAACTTAATATCTGTGATATATCTAATAATTTTACTGTTGATCGATGACAGATTTTAATCTTCAAAATGCATTTGATTTATCTTTGATTTCTAAATTGTTCCCCCCACGATATATATGATTGAAAAACTCACTCACTCACTCACTCCTCTTGAGTAAAGGGTAAGCATGATCATGAACTATGTTTTCCAGGTAGCTGATATACTGAACAGCAAAAGAAACGCGAATTTCAAAATCAAATGCAAAATTGTGTTCTTACAATGTGGTGTTTTTATTATAATTGCACCGTTTTATTAACATGTTTTTTCAATCCAAATTGACAGTTATTACCAACATCAGTGTGTTTTCTGATGAAAAAGGAGAAAGACCAAACGTACCTAAAATGACAGACGTGGTAAAAGGTTCTGTATGACATTCGTGAAAATGAAAATGCACGTGCATATCATGATAACCCTCCCAATGAAAGCGAGTCCGAAACTCGCCTGAAATCATTCTTGTGTTGACACAATCGCCATGCCACAACTTACGACAGATCAGAGGAACCAAGCCTTTGGACGACTGCAAGTTGGCCAGATTGCACGGAGGGTAGCCAATCATTTTAATGTTCATGTTCGGACAATCTACCGACTGCAGGAGCGGTATCAGGCCATTAATAGCATCCGTGACCGTGGACGCAGTGGACGACCCGCAGTAACATCACAACACCAAGACCGAAAAACTGTGCGCAACCATCTGCAGGATCGCTTCATCAGAGCCACGGATACAGCTCGCCAGACCATTGGGACTCACAATAATCCAATTAGTGCTGATACAGTGCGTCTACGTTTGCGCGAAAGAAACCTCTGCTGCCACAGACCATGTCGTGGTCCTGTCCTCACCGCTCGTTACCGCCCAAACCGGCTGCAGTGGACAACTCAACATCGCAACTGGCGTTATCAACAATGGAGAACTGTGCTTTTCTCTGAGGAAAGCCGATTTTGTTTCGACACCCGATGGCAGCGTGAAAGTATGGCGGAGGCGTCGGGAACGGTTTTCCAATGCGTGCATTGTTGAAAAGGACTCGTGGGGGTGGTCCAAGCATCGTGGTGTGGGGTGCAATCGGTCTGAACCAGAGAGTTGGCCCCGTGGTGTTCCAAAATCACGGCCCAGGACTTGAAAATGGCCTGAGAGCTGCTCGCTATACTGACCAAGTCATAAGACCCCACGTTGTACCACATTTGAACGTCACAGAAATCACATCTTCCAGCAAGACAACTCTCGTGCCCACACTGCCAGAGCAACACTGGACTTCCTAAGACTAAGACCTGCACTTAGTCTGGATTTAAGTCCAATAGAACACCTTTAGGACAAGATTCAAAGAAGACTGAATGACCTCAGTCAACTGCGGCTGCACTCGATCGGGCATTTCGCAGAGTATGGCCCCAAGTGCCTGTGGCCTTCATCAACCGGCTAATTCAATCCAGGTACAGACGACGCAACGCCGTCATCGATGCCCATGGAGGCCACAACACGCTACTGACTTTGAGGTATCTTAGCGGTACCATTTTTGGTGAATTTGTTTGTGTGAACTCTAAATGTGATTCCCGATAATGCGTTGACCATAAATGTCAAGTTTGAACGCAATCCTCCGTTTGATTGTTAATTAAAGCGAATTAAAATGTGTGGTTTAAGAAACCTCTATCGGTATGGCGTTTCTTTTGCTGTTCAGTATACGTCCCGGAGGCCTATAGACCCTCACAGGTCAACAGCTGTTTAGATATAACGCGTCTTGCCTTCTTAAAAGCACAATGTCACACCACACTTATCTACCATATGATTAATTCCCAGAGAAATTACGTATCCATATCACAATGTTAATGTAACGTTGCATTAGATCGGCTCTTGCGCCTTCTACCGGCCGAACATTATTTCAAACGATCCCCTCAGAGTTATGTCCCTTTTCAAGAGCGCTCTTTGCGAATATCCTACGCACAACGTCATTCGTGACCAACTCGGTCTTCTTGGAGGTTACGGAAACATGCGAGTGGTGACGAATGGCACAACGTGTGATTGAAACCAGTTCAGCAAACACCGACAACACTGCGTGCGTCAGTTTTCGATGTAATTGTTTATATTCCATATATGGCAAGTGTTATCTGATTGGAAGCTGTTCGCCTCGAAGTTTCAATTATCGATTTTGGGCAAATCGTAAGGGATAATAAGTATTTTATTGCATCAATAGGAAGATAAAGTGAGTGCATATGCCCAATATACACTAAACGCCAAAAGAACGTTACCCTCCTTCCTTAATGACGGAGGTACCTATCTTTAGCTGGCGTTGTGATGCGTGGACGTCCACTTCTTGGTCTGTCTAAGGTGACCCCAGTCTGTCTGAAGCCCTAAATAAGTCTTATAACCGTGATACAGTGACATCCGAGGGCGTTGTATGTCGACCCCATCTGCACCATCCCAATGGTTCTTTCTCTCCCTTCAGCTGTTAATCGTGGCATATTTCTCGTACTTGTGTATCAGATCATGTACTCTAGGCTCTCTTTATACCCTATAGAATCATTCCAGATGTGAAATGGATGTAAATACTGCTTGAATATTGCTGCGTTTTGACGTTTGATATTGCTACAGAAAATGGAAGTGTTACTTTGCACGCAAAACTATTAACAAATATAATTTTAGATGTTCCTAAACATTTTTTCACAATATCAAAGACAGTTTTACTTGTTTTCACTAATGCAAATCAGCAGAAAATGTTTTAAAAGACTGAAATCATAGGAATGATTATTTGACAATTTTACATACTCTACAACAGTTGTTTCTTGTTATTGTAGTTGAAAAATGGTGACTTAAAATGGTTTATCGTTGTCCCAAAGCAGAATTTTATTTCGACCTCTCTTTTGGACATCAAAATCACTATTATTGGTTTATTTCGGCATGAACGAATATAGGACAATTTAACTGTTCTGATTTAATTTAACTTCATCTAAATATTAATGCATTTGAGAATTTGTTTTTCGTGATTTGCATAAAGCTGTGTTGTTAAGCTTTCTTGTAAACTAAAACCTTCTAACATAATTCATAAAGGTAGGAGGGTAACGTTTCTTTTGGCGTCTAGTGTATATAAAATATAGGTCAAAATATTGTCGAAAATGTGTGACATTGTGCCTTTAACCTCAGATGCTGTCTCCACGAAGCTTGATGTGCCTAGTTGTGAATATACGAGTAAAATCTCAGGGCCGGGTGTTGTGCTCCCACTTATTCGTCGCAACTCAGTAATTGTCCTATTAATGTGGCAGTTTGACATCGATTTCGTGGATGTACCAACCGAAGATGATGTCACACGCGCACAACCGGCCCGAGGCAAGTTATGATTGTCTATTTTGTACGCAGGGATGAATAGAAGAGTGAGTGAGTTTAGTTTTACGCCGCACTCAGCAATATTCCAGCTATATGGCGGCAGTCTGTAAATAATCCAATCTGGACCAGACAATCCAGTGATCAACAGCATGAGCATCGATCTGCGCAATGTGGGAACCGATGACATGTGTCAACCAAGCCAGCGAGCCTGACCACCCGAGCCCGTTATTCGCCTCTTACGACTACAGCTGGTTTCGAAAGATTCATTCTAACCCTGACCTTCATGGGTCTCCATTCTTGTAATAGAAGCGACTACCGGCATCGGGTGGTTAGGCTCGCTTACTTGGTTGACACATGTCATCGTATCCCAATAGCGTAGATCACGCTGCTGATCACTGGATTTTCTGGCCCAATCTCGATTATTTACAGACCTTTGGTTGGTTTGTTTGATTAACTTCGCACTTAGCAATATTCCAGGTATATGGAGGCGGTCTGTAAATAATCGAGTCTGGACCAGACGATCTAGTGATCAATATCATGAGCATCGATCTACGCAATTGGGATACGATGACATGTATCAACCAAGTCAGCAAGACTGACCACCCGATCCCGTAAGTCGCCTCTTACGACAAGCATCGGTTACTGAAGATCAATTCTAACCCGGATCTTCACGGGTCTATTCACAGACCATATTGCTGGAATATTGCTGAGTGCGGCGTTACACAACAAACAAACAAAAAAAGAACCAAGTACAGTGAGAGGTGAATCCCATATGTCTCACATAAATAAATCCCTTAGATTACAAAAGTAACAACGATAAAGGAACTGTCTACAGGCTGGAGAGCTCTCATCCATTCGTCACCACTCGCCTCTTTCCGTAGCCTCCAAGAAGATCGGCTTGTCCCGGAATAACACGAGTTGGTCACGAATGGCGCTATTCGGCTTGTCCCGGAATAACACGAGTTTGTCACGAATGTGTTCTCATCATACAATGGAATATAGTCAATAAAGTCACCCTGAATGTAATCAATGTAATCCCGTGATTAACCGTCAGTGCTGACAGACTGGGTGGTCTTGCTCTACTGTTATACATGACTCATCACTCAGATTTTAATTCCTCACAAGTTCATAATTACAAAATTTTATCATTTTTGAAAGATATTGATCTTTGTGACAAGATATAACTTTTAGCCAAATTGTCATTTTTTACATTATTTGTCAGGCGCGTAGCAAGCCAATTTTGTCGTGTAAGCCCGATAGGTTGCAAAGTTTTGATATTTAGATAGTATTGAGGACTTACCAACTATTTTCGCAACAATCATGTGTAAGCCCGAGTTTTTGTCGTATAATGGTAGCTACGCGCCTGCTTGTGATATGACTGATGTTATATATAGTCTTTGATAACATGCTTTTACGAATGGTTTTCAATAATTGATTAATTGGTAATTGCTTGGGTCTCGCCGCGAATAGCTGGAAAATGGCTGATGCGGCGTATAACAATATTCATTATCCATCCATGCACTCACTCACTCATTAATTTCTCAGCCTTCCTCCTGTGTCTCCGGGGAAACGTAAACAAAAAACAAATAACCATATATTTATTGTCAATACACAATGAACGTATACTAATGACAACCCACCCTTGGCACGCTGGATGTTAATGCTTGACAGTGTTAGCACATGGCAGTGTTAACAGCCACGCTTATTTATAACTCGTCTGTGCCACAGATTGAAAAACTATATAAACAGGAAACGTGAAATAGTTGCATTCGAACTTTGTCCAGGTCAAAAATGTAAACACCGTTGACATTCCATCTGATGGGCGGTGGAGTAAGTAGCCTAGTGGTCAAAGTGTTCGCTCGTCACGCCAAAGACCCGGGTTCGATTTCCCTCATGGGCACAATGTGTAAAGCCCATTTTTGATATCGCTGGAATATTTGATGATAGGTAAAGGCCGGTTCTGCCCCACTTTGACCTAGTTTTCGATGGTGCCGACCTACTTAGGCTGGGGTATCACCAGTGTTGCAAGATATGGGGCAATGCGCGGACTATTTTTAGAAGTGAGAGAATCCCTCACATAGCAAGATCAAGACTGTCGTGTCAACAAGGTGACACAGAGCTGGTAGCAGACGGCTATGTAAACAAACCCTACTGAATGGGTGATAGCCTTGCCCAACCATGCCCGCTGAAGGATGGAAGGAGTATTTGTCCAGCATTTACTTTAATCTCAAACACCCAGCCTCCTTTTCAGGTCCATCGAAATTATATTACATAGTGAAAAAGGAAGGGAAATTTGATATCGGTTTACATCGCATCAAGAAGTGGCTGGCGTCTCAAGATGCCCATTCACTTCAACGACCTCTAAGGTACAAGTTCAAGCGGAACAGAGTGGTGGCTTCAGGCCTCAATGCTCGATAGGATATAGACTTGGCCGATGTATCTAATATCGCCACGGACAATGATGGTGTGAAATATCTATTGGTTGCTATTAATATATTCACACGATTTTTGTGGGTGGAGTCTCTCCAAAATAAAACTCCAGACGTCATTATTAAAGCCATAAAGAAGATATTTTCTCGTACAACTCTACCACACATTATCAGATCTGACAAAGGTCGTGAATTTGATAACAAGAAAGTGAGATCATATTTAGCCAGCAAGGGTATTACCTACTATGTCACACAGAATGAAACCAAGGCGTCTTATGCAGAGAGAGTCATACGAATTCTCAAGACAACTATGTACAGATACTTCACTTACAAACAAGCGTATCGTTATCTTGACATCTTACAAGACTTGGTGAATGATTATAATCAAAGACCTCATAGATCACTGAATGAACGTTCACCCACTGATATAAATGTGAACAATGAATCTGTTGTTTGGAAAGAACAGTACATTAACCCACTGATCAAACAAGGCAAGCCTAAAGCGGAGAAGATGAATGAAACCAGAAGGAAAACCTTTACATTCAAAGTAGGGGATCAGGTGCGACTGTCACATTTAAGACATGCCTTTCAACGTGACTATCAGGAGAAATGGATGGAGGAAATATTCATTATCAGCAGACGATACTACAGGGATGGGATACCAGTCTATAACGTCAAGGACATGGCTGAGGATCCAATCACTGGTACATTTTATGCAAATGAACTTCAGAAAGTAGATAAGCATGGTGACAGTACATGGCGTGTGGAGAAAGTGCTTAAAGCCAGAAGGAGAAAAGGTCAGAAGGAAGTCTTTGTCAAATGGATGGGTTATCCAAAGAAATTCAATAGTTGGATCCCTGAGGGTCATCTGCAGTCTGTGTAGCGGATATATAGGGCAACAAGATCATCACTTGTTCTCATTCAAAGTTAGACTATTGAACTGTCAACATGTACTCCTGTCCAGTGTGTTCTAAGACTTATGCCTGGCCTGATAGCCTGAAACGTCATATGAATATCAAGCACAATGATTATAATCAGCAACAACAACAGCAGCAGCAGCAGCAGCAACAACAACAACAACAACAACAACAACAACCCTATGAAGGAGAACATTTCAAGTTTACCATCCCCTCTAATGCAATCATTGTGGGTCCTACTGGCAGTGGTAAATCTATGTTTGTATACAACCTTCTCACGCGTGGATGTATACAGCCAGCACCTAATCACATTGTCTGGTGCTACACCCAATGGCAGCCACTGTACCAGGTGATCAGTGAACAGTTATCCCATGTTAAGTTTGTGAAAGGAATTCCCTACGATGTACTCGACGATACCTACTTTGATGCTGGAAATGACAACATGCTTGTTTTGGATGACTTGATGTCTGAGGCCACAGTATTCTCAACCAGCTTGGAGATGTTATCTCTCTGAGCATCTGGAGTCAAATGATTAGGTGGTTCAGGTTGCTCCTCTTTTATAGACCGGATCCCAGTCTCGCTTTGTCTTGTTTCCTGACTCCAGACGGTCCTTGACTTAAGGTTTCCTTGTATGTCTTCATCAGACAGTATCTCATACGGAGAACAAATTCAGACAGGACTGATGACATGCTTAAACTCTGGCACAATTACTCAATATCAACATGCAGCCCCATGTTAAGGTAGATTTACTTTACCAAGGAAGTAGTAAGTAACTTCAAAAGGAAGGGATTCATTCTGTCGCACTGTGATCGCTGTCTATCGTTTCTTTTTTTCGGTGCCAAGGCACTATGCTAACACTTACGCAGTCTTCACTGTACTTAGTCACGACTTGACAACAGGAAAGATATGAATAGCCAGCTAACACGAGTATATGGTATAGGCACACGTTAAAAAGTGAAAATGCATGCACAAATTCATTGCATTAAGACGCATTGGCACATATAAACCAAACTTATGCTGAAGGAAGATCCGACAACGGAGTCGGGTGGTCAGGCACGCTGACTTCGTTGACACATGTCGTCGTATCCCAAATGGGTAGACCGATGCTCATGATGTTGATTTCTGGATTGTCTGGTCCAGACTCGATGAGTGTGGCGTTACAACAAACCCACCAACCAACCAACCAAATGAAGGATTTATTAACACGAGGTAATAAACTATAAATATGGTTTAATGCTTCAAGAAGGCAGATATAACTTCAACAAGCTCATTGTACGTGAGATAAATCTACCACTAGACTGCATTGATTCGAGGATGCAACTGACTGAGTGAGTGAGTTTAGTTTTACGCCACATTCGGCAATATTCCAGCTATATTGCGGCGGTCTGTAAATAATCGAGTCTAGACCAGACAATCCAGTGATCAACAGCATGAGCATCGATCTTCGCAACTGGGAATCGATGACATGTGTCAACCAAGTCAGCGAGCCTGACCACCCGAACCCAATTAGTCCCCTCTTACGACAAGCATGGGTTACTGAAGACCAATATTCTAACCCGGACCTTCACAGGTGGATGCAACTGCATTCATGTAAATATTCAGACGGTATTAAATCCAACATGTATACAAACTCGCCCCAACGCCCACTTGGTCTTTCAGACATCGGCTCAGACGACCTTTCACCAACTTCTGTCTTCCAAGGTGGACAACGATCTACCGTCTGGAGCCGACATTAGGGCAAGAGACTGCCTGAGTAAAAACTTAGCAGTAAGAATTTATTGGTAGACAACGACGTCAAAATATAGACACCTCGGTCAGGGTTTTTTTTAACCCAAAGCGATCAACCAAGGCTACCACACGAGTGTTTATTAACAGTAACATAAATGTGATCAAGGCTGCTTCACATCACTCACTCCTAAACCGACAAAATAAGACAGAATCCAAATTACGAATGCTTTTGCCTTCTTTTCTGATGTAAATGAATAAATCAAGCATTATATTTCTCATGTTTTCTATTTTAAACCGACCGAACTTGAGATCATAGTGGCTACGAGACACATTATAAAATGCTGCCCTGACTGAAATGCTGGTCCAAACAGTCACAGTCTGTGTCTATTACCTAGTCTTCACAAACCCACATCCACTCGAATGACCCAACAGTCACAGTATGTCTATTACCTAGTCTTCACAAACCCACATCCACTCGAATGACCCAAACAGTCACAGTCTGTCTATTACCAAGTCTTCACAAACCCACATCCACTCGAATGACCCAACAGTCACATTCTGTGTCTATTACCAAGTCTTCACAAACCCACATCCACTCGAATGACCCAACAGTCACAGTCTGTGTCTATTACCTAGTCTTCACAAAGCCAACATCCACTCGAATGACCCAAACAGTCACAGTCTGTGTCTATTACCAAGTCTTCACAAACCCACATCCACTCCAATGCCCCAAACAGTCACAGTCTGTGTCTATTACCTAGTCTTCACAAAGCCAACATCCACTCGAATGACCCAAACAGTCACAGTCTGTGTCTATTACCAAGTCTTCACAAACCCACATCCACTCGAATGACCCAAACAGTCACAGTCTGTGTCTATTACCAAGTCTTCACAAACCCACATCCACTCGAATGACCCAAACAGTCACAGTCTGTCTATTACCTAGTCTTCACAAAGCCAACATCCACTCGAATGTCCCAACACATAAAAAAATATATCATTCTCGAAGTAATTGGGCAGTAATCAAACCAAGACAATGGCAACCGTTCTGTGAGGAGCGAGAGAACAAAGATTACATTGAACGCCAGTATCTTTATTGGATGCTGAAGATACTGGACCATCTATCAACAAGGTTGATGGGTTTCTGAAAAGAACTCGCCGTGTAGCTGACATAATGTCGATACCACTCATTCACTACTAATAAGAACACATACATGTACATTATTTAACTACTTTCTACAAAGGACAATGTACAATTACAGTGCTAAGAATTCAACCTCGCTCGCCATGAAGATATGAGCGGTATGGGAGAACTTCGTGCCTCTTGGAAGAAATTCTCACATCATACGAAAATGTGTCCAGTTTGCGAACTGGTCTTCACTTATGTGCTAAGGCAAATACAACAGTATACGTAGGCGATAGCTGGCTAAACAGTGTTTATGTGTCAACGTACACTATAAAACGAAAAACTAAATGAGTCTGATAGTGATCAAAATTATCCAAGCATCACTTTTACTGTGAATGGATTGTATTCGACTCATCGGATTGGTAAGACGTTTAGACGAAAATTGGGAGTAGAATTGGGGGTTGTGTGTGTTTGTGTGCGTGCGCGCGTGTATGTGAGTGAGTGAGTATGGTTTTACGCCGCTTTTAGCAATATTCCAGCAATAACACGGCGGGGGACACCAGAAATGGGCTTCACACATTGTACCCATGAGGGGAATCGAACCCGGGTCTTCGGCGTGACGAGCGAACGCTTTAACCACTAGGCTACCCCACCGCCCCACAGTGATCAAGAAGATGGGGTTGTGTCATAGCCTAGTGGTTAAAGCGTTCGCCCATCAACGCGGAGACCCGGGTTCGGTTCTCCACATGGGTACAATGTGTGAGGCCCAATTCTTTTGTCCCCCGCCGTTATATTGCTGGAATATTGCTGACAGCATCGTAAAATCATACTCACTCACGTATTGTTTCTACCCACTAAAACTTTAATACTTCCAATTAATATCACTGATGACATCACCGGCTCTTCCAGTAAAAAAGTTGACACGTCACACTACCAGATGACGTCAGAGTCTGAAAGGCGTCACAATCTACTTCTTCTAGGCAACGTTGGGCACATGCCAGCGTTGATTCCACCTGAACCTGCTGTCGTGGAGTCTCGGATCGTCTTCTACCAACATCCATCGTAAACTCCAGCCAGCGACCTAGAAGGGTTTAATGAAGGAAACTAGGTGAACAAAACATGCATCGAAATCAAGCAATCAAATACTAGTACACATGGAATCTGTTTGGAAGCATTGGTAAACGCATGGGACTATATCCTGGAGAACAGGTGAGAACGGGGAACTGTGTTATGTGTATGGTGAGTGAGTGAGTATGGTTTTACGCCACTTTAAGCTATATTCCAGCAATATCACGGCGGGGGGACATCAGAAATCGGCTTCACACATTGTACCCATGTTGGGAACAAACTAGGCTCTTCGGCGTGACGATCGAACGCTTTAACCGCTAGGCTACCCAATCGCCCCACCAGGAATGACTTGAAACTACTGTTGTTCATATTCCAGCTTGTGTTGTTTGTACATTTTAAGAAAATTACGTTTTGCACATTTAATTTGTTTGCCAACTTAATGAAGACATGATTGATTGCCACTTTTGATGCCTCGCATCAAAGGTTTTTTTTCACTTCTTTCTACTCACTTTATTAAAGGAATACCTGGAAACCACTTTTACACTACTTAAAAAGTAGCTTTTGTTTGGTTTTTGGTTTGCCTGAAAGCAGATACATAACTGAGTGTACTATGTTTCGGCATGATCGCAAGAACCTTACTTCCACACACGTGACGACCTTTGACCTGGACTTCGCATATATCAAGAGGCCTGGTAGAGGATAACATAGTGACCTTGACCTTTCGTGCTGTCAGTGTCTCATCACATGGTAGTGTACGGGTGACCGATTGGCCGAACCTTCCCGGGTAGTAGTGACAAAGTCACGTGACTGGAGCCGAAGGGAGGTGATCAGATGTGAGGTCAATTGTCAAGTTACGGCATCGTCCAGCTGAAGAAGAGATAATGATCAAATGAAAAGACATTGCAGTATTCTTTTTGATTGATTCTTGTTTTTTTTTTGTACGCCACAGCAGTGTTTCAAACTGCATCGGTATACAGTTGTAAAGTTGATGAATTTATTATCTGGTGAACAGATAGTGACTGAATGAGTATGATTTTACGACGCTTTTAGCAAACATCCAGCAATAACACGGCGAGGGACACCTGAAATGGGCTTCACACATTGTACCCACGTGGGGAATCGAACCCGGGTCTTCGGCGTAACGAGTGAACACTATCACCACTGAACTACCCCACCGCCCCTGGAGAAGTGATAATGATCAAATCCCGAAATAATGAAAAAACATCCTTTTCGATTTTGTGGTGTTTTACGCCGAAAACTCAGCTGATTCGTTTCAATCAGCAAACAAGTTGACCTTCACATGCCAGTGGTTGGTATGAGCAAAGCTGTGCGTCAGTTCACCGGATTAGACAAGTCGATTGTGGTCCACTCTTAGGGCACGGCTCGGTCACTTTGGACCAGTTCTAACTCGGATGTGATCCTATATACTCTTCCAAGAAAGAAACGCATAGGTGATGTTGATACATCAGTTTTCAAATATTTTTCAAAATTAGTGTTGGATTGTTAGTGTTGGAACCCATGCTTGCCACAAAAGGCATATGCTTGTAGTAAGAGGCGACTAACGGGATCGGGTGGTCTGGCTCGCTGACTTGGTTGACACATGTCATCGGTTCCCGATTGCGCAGATCGATGCTCATGCTGTTGATTACTGGATTGTCTGGTCCAGATTGGATTATTTACAGACCGCCGCCATATAGCTGGAATATTGCTGAGTGCGGCGTAAAACTGAATTCACTAACTCACGCTAAAAACAATTCTAACCCGGTGATCTACCTTCAGTTGTTGGCGATCTATAGCCCGTTTTTATATTGTATTGTCTTCGTAAATAAAATAGTTTTACATGTTCATGCTAGTTTTAGACTCCATCTGTGATACTCTAGTTATTTGACAGTCCTTCGTTGACTGATTATTTAGCTACTTTAATTTATTGTTTGTGTAAAACCTTTCTCGTCACTATATGGATGAAATATTGCCGAGGTGACGTTAAATTCTAACTCACTCACTCTAACCCGGATCTTCACGGGACAGTGGTTTAAAGTTAGGTTGCTTATCTGTCCCTAGAATCCGCTAGTTGTGAGTTCTTATCACCAGATTCTCCCTGTTTCCCATAGTTTCTGTCTGGTTTCAGTCGACAGCTTCACAAACGTGGCACTGCATAAGCCAGCCAGTATGGACTCATTCAAGGTTGTCTTTCCCCCCTTCTGCTTCTTTGATATAATATCAAGTCCGTACCAGACCGTCAAACTTTTCTAGCGGCAGAGCCTCGTTTTGAGATTTCCACGATTTCCAGGTTTCTGTTTGTTAGTGCCCGCTGTACGACAGAACATGCTGCACGACATGTTGGCATGGATTACAAGGAGCGATAACAAGTGCTTAGATGTATCAAATAATACTGATTAATATTTATGTATCCAGTTAAATAAATTGGTCTCAAAATTCTGGACTGGTTATTGTACTAAGTTGCGCAATAGGACGGAACCCAGTCAACAGGAAACGAGACTCTTGTGTAATCAATGTTTTGACTTGATAAGCGGATGAGAGAGGTTACATAAGTTTAAGACGAGCCCAGTTACGACATATCGATTTTGTACAACTCTATGAAACTAGTACTATTGGTGTCTCAAGGGCTGTTCGTATTCCCAGATATTTAAGCATGACTGACTGGTGAAAACAAAGATTTCGCTGTCTGGACAGACATATATATTTTCTGTGAGCGGCATTGTTTGCTCCCAGTAGATTGTTTTCACGACACAGAATTGTGATCGTTAGTTTGGAAAGAATATCTGTGTTTCTTTTAATCGAAGCCACAATTCAAAGCCCAATCTTTAAAATGCGAAATAGTCTATGGATATATACCTGATGACTACAGGCAAAAACATAAAAATCACATAAAATACAGAAATTCAATGGCGCGACCCCACTGTGGGCAATCAGCGTTAATTACCATTCTCATTTTGACGTACTAGATCCTATTCTTTCGCTTCAGGTAAAGACATTAAAGACACGCAATTTAAGTACTTTAAACTGTAAGTATGTTTCGAGTGAAAAAGGCTTTAGATATTACATTTTAATATCCA